TCCTTCAGGTGTTTCTCAGGTAGACCCTCCGGTACCTGCGCCTGTTGAGGTCACTGGTGACTCAGGTCCTGCTGGAGGTGGTCCTGCTCGGGGTGCTGTCTCTGGGGGTGCTGAGCCTGGGGGTGCGGCGCCTGAGCGAGAGGCGCCTAGAGGTGCTGAGCCTGGGGGTGCGGAGTCTGGGGGTGCTGTGCCTGCGCGTGAGGAGCCTGGAGGTGCTGAGCTTGGGGGTGTCGAGTCTGAGGGTGCGGAGCCTGCGCGAGAGGAGCCTGGAGGTGCTGAGCCTAGGGGTGCGGAGTCTGGGGGTGCTGTGCCTGCGCGTGAGGAGCCTGGAGGTGCTGAGCTTGGGGGTGCCGAGTCTACGGGTACTGAGCCTACGCGTGAGGAGCCTGGGGGTGCTGGCGCTGAGGGTTCTGAGTCTGCTGTTGCGCGGTCTCCTTGGAGTAGCCGCCTTCGTCCACGTGTGCCTCTCACCTCACAGCAGCTGCAGGACCAGTACGGTCGCCGTCAGGGTCGCACTGCTGGTGCCCGGGGCTCTACTGCTGGAGTCGCTGGTTCCGGAGGTGCTCGTCCTGGGGGTACTGGAGCTGCTGGGGCTTGGGGTGCTGGTTCTGGGGGTGCTGCTGCTGGAGACACTGAGGTTGGAGACCCTGGGGCTGGAGGTGTCGGTTCTGGGACTGGAGCTGCTGGAGGTGCTGGAGCTGCTGGAGGTACTGGAGCTGCTGGAGCTGCCGGTACTGGTGCAGCTGCGCCGACACGACTGTTCTTCGCTCCGCCGTCTCCGTCGTCTCTGCCGCCGCCTGACTCTGCTCTTCGTCAGGTTGTTACTCTCCCGTCGTCTACTGGTCTTCCGTTACAGACTGGCTCACCGCTACCTGCTCCCTCTCCTTACACTGAGCAGACAGGCAGTCCTGCTACGCGTCGTGAGCCTGCGTCGCGTCCTGTCTCGCCTGTTCGTTCTGGTCGTACCGTTCGTCGTGTCGCTCGTGCGCGTCAGCCGGCTGTCCCCAGCGCACACCTTGTTGTCCGTCGTCCTTCCTCTGCTCCGCAGCCTGTTCCTCTGCCGTCTCCCCCTGCGTCCTCTCTGCCTGCCGTTCCGGACCCTGAGTCTGACCGGTTTCGTACTGAGCACCCTACTGTCACGCGTCTCCTAGCCACTGTTGTCACTGACCCGTCGTTTGAGTCTACTGCTGCGTCTGCCTTGGTCGCTGAGCTTGTTGACTTTGCTGCTGCCTGTCGTCTAGACTACGCCGCCAGTCTTGTTGCTGAGTCTGAGTCTGTCTGTCCTCCGTCCGTCGGGGGTGAGTGTGCTCTTAGCACGGACGTCCTTGAGGACAGGCAGGAGGAGTTCCAGTGTCTTGCTGCTGCTTTACCTCATCTTGTGTCCTCGCTACTTGCCCCTGAGGGAGACCCGGATGCACCAGACATCCCGACTCCGCGCTCTTACGCAGAGGCGATAGAGGGTCCCTACTCCTCTCAGTGGCAGGCAGCCATGGACGCAGAGATGGCTTCCTGGAAGTCCACACGCACCTATGTCGACGAGGTTCCCCCACCTGGGGCGAACATCGTCAGTGGCATGTGGATTTTCAGGGTGAAGCGGCCGCCGGGTTCTCCGCCTGTCTTCAAGGCGCGTTACGTGGCTCGAGGCTTCAGTCAGCGAGAGGGAGTTGACTTCTTCCAGACCTTCTCCCCCACCCCGAAGATGACCACTCTTCGGGTGCTGCTGCATGTTGCTGCTCACCGTGACTACGAGCTTCACTCTCTTGACTTCAGCACTGCTTTCTTGCAGGGCAGCCTGCACGAGGAGATCTGGCTGCGCCGCCCCCCGGGCTTCACTGGGTCGTTCCCTCCTGGCACCCAGTGGAGCCTCCGGCGGCCGGTCTACGGTCTCCGCCAGGCGCCACGTGAGTGGCACGACACACTGAGGACTACGCTTGCGGCTCTTGGGTTTGCGCCTTCTACTGCTGACCCGTCGCTGTTTCTGCGCACCGACACTTCACTGCCGCCGTTCTACATCCTCGTGTACGTCGACGACTTGGTTTTTGCCACTGCTGACACTGAGGCTCTCGCCCACGTGAAGTCGGAGCTGCAGAAGAGACACACGTGCACTGACTTGGGTGAGCTGCGCAGCTACCTTGGCTTGCAGATCACCCGGGACAGAGCACGCCGCACCATCACCTTGACTCAGTCACACATGGTGCAGCAGGTCCTTCAGCGCTTCGGCTTCACCTGGTCTTCAGCACAGGCCACTCCTCTGGCTACAGGTCACACGCTCTCAGCTCCACCTTCGGACGAGTCTGTAGAGCCGAGTGGTCCTTACCCAGAGTTAGTCGGCTGCCTCATGTACCTGATGACTTGCACTCGACCTGACCTCGCGTACCCTCTTGGTCTCCTGGCTCGCTACGTGGCTCCTGGTCGGCACCGACCTGAGCACATGGCTGCTGCTAAGAGGGTACTGCATTACTTGTGCAGCACATCAGGCATGGGGCTAGTGCTTGGAGGGACGAGCCCAGTTGTCCTCACTGGGCACTCAGACGCTTCTTGGGTTGACGACCTGGCTACTCAGCGGTCATCACAGGGTTACACCTTCAGCCTTGGCTCTGGTTCAGTTTCGTGGCGTTCTACACGCTCGTCTTCAGTTCTCGGCTCCAGTTGTGAGGCTGAGATCTACGCCACAGCCATGGCTGCACAGGAGTTACGCTGGCTCACCTACCTGCTGACTGACTTGGGAGAGCAGCCTCGTTCTCCTCCAGTGCTGTACGTCGACAACAAGGCCGCCATTGCCTTGTGTGAGGAGCACAGACTGGAGCACAGAACGAAGCACATTGCTCTGCGTTACTTCCTGGCTCGAGAGTTGCAGCAGCGAGGCCAGCTTCGTCTTCGTCACGTGGCCACTCGGGCCAACACTGCTGATATATTCACCAAGGCACTTCCGTCTGGTGATCATCAGCGCTTTTGTACCCTGTTAGGCCTTGTGCCTACGCTTCCACACTTGCTGTAGTTTCTGCTTGTACTGTGATATATATATATATATATATATATATATATACCTGCATGCTGGCTCTTGCTAGGTAGCCATCACTGTACTGTCATTGCTGCATATATATCTCTGCATGTGAACTGGCCTTGTGGCCATTTGCTTGTGCTCAGAATGTGTGGTGACGTTGTGATCCACCCTGAGCTTGTTTTGCTTCTCTTGACTGGTCTTGTGACCCGTTGCTCTCCCCCACTTTGCCTATGGGGGTGTGTCAAATGATATATATGTGTGATATATATTGGTAGGCTGTAGTGGGGTAGATGTTATAGGGGATAACACTTTAGGGTTGTGTGTTCTGTACCAAACTCTCTCGTCAATCGAACCACCTTGCCTAGCTATCTCGACAAGGCCGACATGCCTGTAACCCTTCCCTAGGATCATCGGGGATCCCAAGTGGACCTCTGACACCCCCCCGCACTGGGATGCCCGAGGTGCACACACCGGGAATCGAACCCGAGACCTTCGCTCTGATACCATGTCAGAATCCCAGCCACTAACCACTGGGATAAAAGGGCTTGTTTGTATAGCGGGTGAGTGCGCCCATAACCCCCCAGGCCGACATGCCTGTAACCCTTCCCTAGGATCATCGGGGATCCCAAGTGGACCACTGACAGTCAAACCTTTGGTAGCAACACTTGCCAACTGGACAGATAGCACACTTTGTAAAATATAGTACGAATTCGCGTCATAAGAGGGTGTCCGAAGTGAAACGTCAACATCCGTTGACATCCGTTTGGGGATGTCGGCGAATCCTGACGGTCGGAATCTTCGATCCGAGGGCTGACATGCACCGACATCCAGCGACATGGTCGCTTCGGACACGCTCTAAGCAAGGTTGACCGAAGGTTTGACCAAAGCCCGGAATGTATCCTCACCTCCCTCTCCTCCTCCCAACTCTCCTCTGGACTGCTCTTCATCCTCATCACCCGACGTTGTCATCCGCCCTTGGCCGGGTAGGGTCGGATTACCCGACCCGTCCGGGTCAAGTGCCCATGTCTATTTCAACCTAAGGCTCTGTTATACTTATCTCCATCTGTGCAAAGAGCAGCTGAGCTCTGCACGTGGTACTGAAACTAGGTGCAGGGATTACAGCGAGTCAACATGGTGCGTGTCTTGGCGGTTCAGACAGTAGCATTTCGCGCAGCCTTTTTAGTTGTGCACAGCCTGCCATTGAGCTGACGTGACGGCGTGCTGCTTTGTGTCTGTTCAGGGTCGTGGTGGTTGCGAGGGCGAGGTCACCAACTTGGTCACCACCTTGAAGGCTACTGCTGCAGCTGTCGACTCCGTTGCCAGCAATGCTGGCGGGCTCACGAAGCGATCCGTCGCCGGATCCAACGGCAATGCGGCGAAGCAGTTCACCATGGACGAGGTGTCCAAGCACAACCGCCCAGGGGACGCCTGGGTCGTCGTCCAAAACAAGGTCCGCCTCGAATCCGCAACTATCTTTTCTGTCTTCGTTCCAATTTTGCTTGACTCGTCCCGGTTCTGCCTTTTTTGTTGATTTTCTTCCAACTTCTTGTCTATTTGGACTTAGTAATTCACCCTGTGTCCGTGGATCGTGCAGGTGTACGATGTGAGCGACTTACCGGCATCCAGGCGGGCGCGCGATCTACTTGATGGCGGGTCGCAACGCCACGGACGTGTTCGCCGTCTTCCACAAGCCCTCCACCTCGGCGTTCCTCTCTACGCTCTACATCGGCGATCTCAAGGTACGCTCTGATTCCAGCAATGTTTGGATGAGATAGACACGACGAACGTATCGGATGAACCATAGTCTTCCAGCCAGCCATGTTTGCCAAAGTGAACGCTAGTAGCGCCAGTGGCAAAATGTAGTACCTTTCTAGCCTCGAAGCCCCAGGCCGCGTCTGGCAATGTGCACGGAAAGAGATAGTCTAGTACCTCTCCAGCCTCTCCCCACTCGGCCTACCACCCCGTTTCGGGGACGATGCGACACGTCTCTAAGCTCATGATGGCCTCCCGGCTTCTTGCCTTGCCGCTTCGTCCGCTACAGGACAGCGAGGTGGAGCCGACGACCGACCTGCTGAAGGACTTCCGCGATCTGCGGGCGTCGTTCGAGGAGAAGGGGTACTTCAAGAGCAGCCCGGCGTACTACGTGTTTAAGGTGCTCTCCACGTTCGCCATCGTCGCCGCCAGCCTCGCCATCATCATGTGGACCTCCGACCCGCGCTGGGTGCTTGCCTCCGCCGTGCTTCTCGGCCTCTATTTTCAGCAAGTCGGCTGGCTCTCGCACGACTTCCTCCACCACCAGGTCAGCGCCTCGCGCACGCAAATCTGTCCCAGTCGTCTTACTGATGCTGTTGTCTGCGCTGGTTATCGAAGCAGATAGTCCCCCTGAAACCGCTAGTTCTTGAGACGCACACCGCGCGCGCCGCACCTACGCAGCGCTGTTTTACCGATAATCATTATCTTTCACGTCGCGCGAGTGCAGCAATTGACGTGGATCATTCCAATCGAATGCAGGTGTTCCAGTCGCGGTCCCTCAACACGGCCATCGGCGGGTACATTCACGGCAACCTGGCGCAGGGCTTCAGCATGAATTGGTGGAAGAACAAGCACGCCACGCACCACGCCATACCCAACGAGTGCGACGAGGAGTACCGCCCAATCGACCCGGATATCGTCACGCTGCCTTACCTGGCGTGGAGCGATGACATTCTCGCGACCGTCAAGAGCAAGACTGTGCGCTCGCTGCTGCGCTACCAGAGCTTTCTTTTCTTGCCCACGCTCTTCATCGCCCGCTTCGCATGGTACGCGCAACCTTCGCAATGCATTACCTCCGAGGTCGCAATGTCTACCTGAATTTCTTTACGAGAACTTGCCCTTGGGGACTAGCTTGACAACAGAATCCTCGTGATGTGATGTTCTTCACTACCTGCCATGCAGGTCGTACGCGAGCCTGATTTACTGCTTCTCGGACGATGTGCCCGAGAAGGAGCGCTTCGGGGAGCGGCTGTTCATGGTGCTGCACTACGCGTGGGTGCTGGGCTTTGGGTTCGGCTGCGTGCCGTTCTGGACGGCCGTCATGTGGTTGCTGGCGGCGCAGGTCTCCGGCGGGCTGTTCCTCTCGTTTGTGTTCGTGCAGAGCCACAACGCCATGGAGATCTACAACGAGGGCAAGGACTTCTACTCCGCCCAGGTGCGCTGCAATGGACTGCTGTGGATGTGCTATCCAGGGATGTGTGATGAGGAAGCCGGTAAAGGTGAAATCCCAAGTAGAACTGGAGAGTAGTAGTGGCAGTCAGGCTGTTATGAAGTGAACATAGCTGTGTGATGGTTGGTCTTCCCGCTTCATCTACCATTGCCCCCTCTCTGCGGCCCTTCAGATTGTGACCACGCGTAATGTGAGCGACGGGCTGTTCAACGACTGGTTCACAGGTGGGCTGAACAAGCAGCTAGAGCACCACCTGTTCCCCACCATGCCCCGTCACAACCTGGGCAAGACGTGCAAGGCAGTGAAGGAGCTGTGCGAGAAGCATGGGCTTGCCTATGAGAAAGTGTCCTTCGTCGAGGGCACGTCACTAGTGCTCGAGCATCTCAGCAAAATTGCTGCCAAGGCCTGATGCGTTGCTCTTGGTGTGGACAGTGGAATACCACATTGGGCTTACGATAGTAACACTTTGCAACGCCTGTGTTGCACACATGGTGGGCCTATGTGAAATGTGCCAGGTTCAGGTGAAGCAGTGATGGTTGTTCCACCTGTCCATGTGGGCATTGATCTGTTTATGCTGGTTTTCGAATGTGAACTGGGCTGTCAAATGTTGTAGCCTATAGTGAGGTTTGTCTTAGGGGGTACAAAACTTAGGGTTAGCTATATGTACCCCAACCAACATCAATGCATCATCCATTCTTCATTTTGACATGGTATCAGTTAGGTTAGGATCCTGTGGGATCCCGTTCCGCCGTTCTCCGTTCGTACCACCCGAGCCTGATCCTAGCTCTCGTTCGTCTCCTTCTCGTTGTTACCGAGCCTAGCGCCGAGCCACGCTCTCGTTCGTATCGTTCCAGCTGTTACCGAGCCTAGCAACGACCCACGCTCTCGTTCGTATCGTTCCAGCTGTTACCGCCCCCCCGTCGCGTCGCCTTCCCCCCCCTCGAGACGCGCCCGTCCCTTTCCCCCTGTCGCGTCGCGCTCCCCCCGTCGCGTCGCGTCCGCTCCTTCCCCCCGTCGCGTCGCCCTCCCCCTGTCCCGTCGCACCCGCCCCTTTCCCCCCGTCGCGTCGCCCTCTCCCTGTCCCGTCGCTCCCGCCCTCTCCCCCCGTCGCGTCGCCCGTCCCCGCAGCGCCCGCCACTGTCGCTCGCGACCGCGCTCGTCGCCGCCGCGCCTGCCGCCGTCGCCCGCCCCCTGCGCGCCTCGCCGCGGCCCCGCCGTCGTCGCCCGCCGCTGCGCGCGTCGCCGCTGCGCCCCCTGCCGTCGCCCGCTGCGCGCGCTGCTGGCCCCTGCTGCCGAGCGCGCTGCCATCGCCCGCCGCTGCGCCCGTTCCCGTTCCCCGCTGCTTAGTCCCCTGTTACCTCCCGCTGTCACGCCCGCTGTGGCGTCCGCTCCTCCCCTGTCCCAGAGTACCGCCGAACCCTAATTTGCCTCTCACCTACTGCTGTCCCCTCCCTCTCCGTTCGCGTTCGTTTTCACTATGGCGACTCAGCGTGTCCTTCGTTTCGACGCTGACGGTAGACCTCTTGATTTTTCCGTCTGGCTTCTTCGTGCTCGCCGTCTGTTAGAGAGTCAGGTCCAGGCAGGCGAGACCCTCTGGGCGCACGCTACTGGTGCCCTACCTGCGCCCCCCGACCCTACGCCTTTAGGACCTGCCCCTGACGACGCCGCTAGAGCCCGCTTTGCCACTCAGCGAGCTGACCAGACGGCTTGGACGTCGCGTGACGCTGCGGCCTGCATCGCGCTCAGCAGCCTCCTCCCTGAGTCTGAGGAGGTTCACTTCACTCAGGTTCGCACCGCTGCTGAGTACCTCACTGCGATTAAGGCCCGCTACTCTACTCCCGCTGCTGTCTCTCTTGGCCGCCTGTTCCTCCCGTTCCTGTTTCCTGACCTAGCGTCTTTTGAGCGCTCTGCTGACTTGATCGCTCACCTCCGCTCGCTCGACGCTAGTTACCGCGCTGCTTGCACTACCGCACAGCTTGCACTGCTTCCTCCCCCTATGGCGATTACTATCTATTTCATCGCCACTAGCCTCCCTGACCGCCTTGCCTCCGTTCGCGACGCGCTTCTGCTGAAGCACCCTAGTGAGCTCACCGTCGAGGTCCTTGAGTCTGCACTCAAGGACGTCGAGAGCAACCTTCGCTCGGTAGCCGCTGCCTCTGGTGCTGTGCCCCCCCCACTCTTCCACGGGTGCACAGTCCCGCAGTTACCCACCTTTACTGCCTCACTTGCCACTGCCGCTACTGACGCGACTGCAGCTGCTGTTACGACTGCGTCGCGGTCCCGCGGTAGGAGTGGCAAGAAAGGCGGTTCTGGTGGTGGTAGTGGAGGTGGAGGCGGAGGTAGTGGAGGTGGCGTTGCGCCTGGCGGCGGTGGAGGTTCAGGGCCTGGAGAGGCGCCTCGTGCAGTGACTGGTGACTCCACTGCGCCTGCTGGTGGTGGCGACGCCCGAGTTCGTCAGTCGCCTCCTGTACTTCCTGCCCCGGTTGGTGGAGCAGCGGCGTGGTACCAGGCTCAGCGTCAGCAGCAGCTTCTGCAGCACCAGCAGCCCCTCTCCTCCCAGCAGCCTCAGCAGCAGCAGCGGCAGCAGCTGGCTCCAGGGTCGGGGCTGCGTCAGACCCAGCGCGGTGCTGCTTACACTCCCTGCACCTACCAGGTTCTGACAGGCACTCGTCGTGGCCACCCTTGTGGCCGGTTTCACCCCCCTGGTCAGTGTTTTGCTCAGCTCACTGACACGGTTCGTTTGGTCTACGGGGTTGGTGCTCCTGCCCCTGACTGGCTGCCTCTTGTTCAGCGTTACGGCTCCGCTCTGTGGGGCATGTCTGCTGAGCAGTTAGTTGATCTGATTGGTAGTCCCCATGCTATGTATGCTGTTGTTGACTCTAGTGTTTCTGACTCTGTTTACTCTGGTGTTGTTAGCTTAGGTGCTAGCCTTGCTCAGTTGCCTGTTGCTAGTGTAGGTTCTTGTGTAGACTCTAGTCCAGCGGCTACCTCAGAGGACGGTTCGCTGTCGTTCACGCTGGACTCTGGAGCCTCTCACTGCTTCTTTCGTGACAGCACGACACTTACGCCTCTTCCTGCGCCTGTTTCTGTGGCGCTGGCTGATCCCACTTCGGGACCAGTCACCGCGCGTCACACTACCACCTTGCCGTGTCCGGCTGCTCCTTCTGGGTCTCTCACTGGGTTTCACGTCCCCTCGTTCTCCCGGAACTTGGTGGGCGTGCGACCCCTCGTGAGTCAGCACGTGGGTGTGTGGTTTGAGCCTTCTGGAGAGACTGCGGTGTGTGTTGACGGGGACTCTTACCAGCCCCTCGCCACTTTTGCTGCTGAGCCGGGCTCCGGTCTCTACACTCTTCACACTGGCCCGCGCGCTCAGCAGCGACTGCAGCAGCAGCAGCAGCCGCAGCAGCAGCAGCAGCAGCAGCCGCAGCCGCAGCCACAGCCGCCCCTCCTGCCCCCGGCCCCTGTTTTGCCCCCCGTTCGAGTCCTCGCGTCTCACCAGGTTGCTCCGTCCCCCCAGGTAGCTGTGTCTTGTCAGGTTCCTCCGTCTAGTCCGGTCGCTGCGTCGTGCTCCTGTCGGTCGCTTGCCCACCCCACCGTTTTGTGGCACCACCGGCTGGGGCACCCTTCTCCTCCTCGTCTTCGCGCTATGTCTCGTCAGCGTCTTGTCTTAGGTCTCCCGCGTGTCTTGCCGTCGCTGCCGCCGTCCCTTGCACCACCGTGCGGTCCTTGCGTCGAGGGTAGGCTGCGCGCCACCCCTCACTCCTCCTCCCTTCGTCCGGCCACCGAGCCTTTTGAGACGCTGCACTTGGACGTCTGGGGCCCCTCTCCTCGCCCTGGCCCTGAGCGTGAGCGTTTCTTTTTGGTGGTCGTTGACGACTACTCCCGCTACACCACAGTGTTCCCCCTGGCGAGGAAGTCTGAGGTGACTTCTACGCTGATCAGGTGGTTGCTTACCACCCAGGACACTCGTGGTCGTCGTGTCAGCTGTCTCCACTCCGACCGCGGGGGCGAGTTTCGCTCCGGCATTCTTGCTGGATTCTGTCGCGAACAGGGCATTCGTCAGTCCTGGACGCTTCCGGAGTCCCCACAGCAGAATGGGGTTGCTGAGCGTCGCATAGGCCTGGTCATGGAGATTGCCCGCACCTCCTTGACTCACGCCCGTGCCCCCCATTTCCTGTGGCCATACGCGGTCAGGTACGCCGCGCACCTCTCGGCCGGAGGCTTCACCGACCAGTCTTTGGACAGGGTCCCCTGGTGTCGCGTCGAGGTTTCGTGTCTGGGGGTGCTTGGCTCTTGTCCGCGACACCTCCGCGGACAAGCTCTCGCCTCGCGCCGTTCCTTGTGTCTTCCTTGGTTTCCCTGAGGACTCCTCTGACTTCACCTTTTACCACCCTCCCTCTCACCGGTTCTTTGACTCCCGTGACGTCCGTTTCGAGGAGTCCACCCCCTACTACGTCAGGTACCCCAGTCGAGGTCTCCCGGTCCCTCCCCCCCCTCTCTTCCTGACCGCCGCTCCCCCGCCTGCTCCCCCGGTACAGCCTCCCCCCCCTGGTCCAGCCCCGTCTGGTGTGTCTCAGGCTAGCCCTCCCCCTTCGGTAGCCCCCCCTGTACAGCCTCCCTCCCCACAGTCTTCCTCGCCGCCTCCTGCAGGTGCTCCCTCTCGGGAGGTTGGTCCTGCGACTGTCCCTGTACAGGTCTCTGGTTCTGGGGGTGCTGGAGTTGGAGCTGAGCCGCGGGTTGCAGAGGACTCTTCTCTTCCGGGGGCTGGTACTGGTCGTGCGGAGTCTGGGGGTGAGGGTGTCCCTTCGGTTTCTGGAGAGCCTGGGTCTGGAGCTGGTGTTGGTGCTGCCTCTGGGGGTGGTGTGCTTGGTGCTTCGGAGGTCGACTCTGGGGCTGCCGCTGCCCCGGACACTACTCCTTCCCCCCACCCCTACCCGACCAGGTTCCAGGCTCGTGTTCGCCGTGCTCGTGAGGAGCAGCTGGAGTTGGAGAGAGAGGAGAGAGAGTTGCAGCGGCTCGAGGAGCAGGAGCGACAGCAGCAGCAGCAGCCGCAGCAGCAGCAGCAGCAGCTGCTGCCGTCTCCTCCTCCTGTCTCGGGTCTTCGGACCCTTGGTCTCCCGTCTCCCTCTCCTTCCTCCTCCCCCTCTCCTCCCGTCTCTGGTCCTCCGCTTCCTCCTCCTGACCCCTCTCCCGCTGTTTTCCCTCGTTCTCAGTCTTCGTTGTCTCCTCCTCCTTCTCAGACTTGGGCCTCTCGTCGCTCCCCTCGTGCTCGTCCCTCGTCTCCTGTTCCCTTCACTGACCTTCGTACAGCCTTCCTTTGTTCTCGTCCACCTCGTCCGTCTCCGTCTGTGCTTCCGTCTCCTCCTGAGTCGGCCCTCACTGTGTCGCTTCCTTCTCCTGTCACTGACTACTACCGCACGTACCGTCCTGTTCTCTCTCGTGTTCTCGCCTCTCTTGTTACCCACCCTCGTGCCTCTGTGTCCTCTGTGTCCGCTCTTACTGCCGCAGTCACTGAGTTTGCCTCTACCCGCCGCCTTGACTTCGCCACCGCTCTTGTGGCTGCTCCTCCTTCCAGTCCTCTGGCCGTCGGGGGTGTGTCTGCCCTTGGCTGTGACGCCCTAGAGGACAGGCAGTTTGAGCTAGAGTTCCTGGCGGCCGCTTCCCCTCATCTCTGTGCCATGCTCCTCGCCCCTGAGGGTGACCCCGACGCCCTTGACATTCCGACTCCTCGCACTTACGCTGAGGCAGTGTCAGGGCCTTGGGCCTCTCAGTGGAGAGCTGCCATGGACGCAGAGATGGCCTCCTACAGATCCACAGGCACCTACGTCGATGAGGTTCCCCCTCCGGGGGCGAACGTAGTCGACGGCATGTGGATCTACAGGGTGAAGCGGCCACCGGGATCTCCTCCGGTCTTCAAGGCGCGCTACGTGGCTAGAGGTTTCAGTCAGCGCGAGGGAGTTGACTTCTTTCAGACCTTCGCGCCCACCCCGAAGATGACCACTCTTCGGGTGTTACTACACGTAGCAGCACAGAGAGACTACGAGTTACACTCTCTCGACTTCTCTACTGCTTTCCTTCAGGGCAGTCTTCACGAGGAGGTCTGGTTGCGTCGTCCCTCTGCCTTCACTGGCTCTTTCCCTCCTGGGACCCAGTGGAGGCTGAGGCGACCGGTTTACGGTCTTCGTCAGGCTCCTCGTGAGTGGCACGACACCCTGCGTTCTACCCTGTCTGACCTTGGGTTCCAGCCGTCTTCTGCTGACCCGTCGCTGTTCGTTCGTCGTGGCCCCACACCTTTCTTTGTTCTGGTCTACGTTGACGACCTTGTTTTCGCCACCCCTGACAGGGTTGCTTTGGCACACGTGAAGTCCGAACTGCAGAAGAGACACACCTGCACTGATCTTGGTGAGCTGCGCCACTACCTTGGCCTGCAGATCACCAGGGACAGAGCTGCTCGCACCATTACACTTTCACAGTCACACATGGTGCAGCAGGTCCTTCAGCGGTTCGGGCTTCAGCACTCCACAGTACAGCGCACACCTCTTGCTGTTGACCACAGACTCACTGGACCCTTTCCTGACGAGCCGTTCGAGCCTAGTGGTCCCTACGCAGAGCTTGTGGGTTGCCTCATGTACCTGATGACTTGTACTCGCCCGGACCTCGCCTTCCCTCTCAGCGTTCTTGCGCGCTTTGTTGCGCCAGGGAGACACCGTCCTGTTCACTGGACAGCAGCTGTGAGGGTGGCGAAGTACCTAGCGACGACATCAGGCGTGGGGCTAGTTCTTGGAGGGCAGCAGTCTGTCGTACTTACTGGTCACTGTGACTCCTCTTACGCTGACGACGCTGAGACTCACAGGTCTACTCAGGGGTACTGTTTCAGCCTGGGTTCTGGAGCTGTTTCCTGGCGGTCCACGCGCTCCTCTTCGGTCTCGACCTCTACAGCTGAGGCTGAGATCTACGCTGGTGCCATGGCGGCACAGGAGCTGCGTTGGTTGACCTTCTTGCTCACCGACCTTGGTGAGCGGCCGAGCTCTGCACCGACCTTGTTCACTGACAACAAGGCGTCTATTCTCCTTTGTCGAGAGCCACGACTGGAGAGCAGAGTGAAGCACATTCACGTCAGGTACTTTCTTCTGCGAGAGTTGCAGAGGCGTGGACAGGCTCGCTTTGAGTTTGTGGAGTCCGAGGCCAACACTGCAGACATCTTCACCAAGGCGCTTCCGCCTTGTGACCACCAGAGGTGCTGTGTGCAGCTAGGCCTTGTTGACACTGGTTCTCGTGTTGCTTAGACTTGAGTGTACTGTTTACTTTGCTTTCTATATATCTCTGTTACTTCTTGGACTGGCCTTGTGGCCACTGTTGTTTGTGCTCAGACTGTGTGGTGACGTTGTGATCCACCCTGAGCTTCGTTTCTTGGACTGGTCTTGTGACCGTACTCGTTTGGTTCTGCTAGACACCCCTCACTTAGGCTATGGGGGTGTGTCAAATGTTGTAGCCTATAGTGAGGTTTGTCTTAGGGGGTACAAAACTTAGGGTTAGCTATATGTACCCCAACCAACATCAATGCATCATCCATTCTTCATTTTGACATGGGCATGCTTGTGGAACCAGAGACCAGATAGTTGCTTGCCTGTCAAATGATGGTATCTACCTGCCTTTGTCTGCTTACCTCCATGCATTGTCACCCAGGAATCCAGTTTAGATAGAGTTCCCCCAAAGGGTGCTATTCTCAACCAATTCTGATTGGAAGGTGGAAGCAAGTCAATTATAATATCAATGTGTATGCACAGTTTCCGCGTTTGGAAATGTACAACCTTATACCACGTTATACAATATATTGTTACGTCAGCTTTTCCCCTCCGCCCGCCTTGAGAGTATCGAGAGTTGAGATCCTCGTGGCATCCCCCCCAGCCACAAACCAAGCAATTTTCCTTCCCCTCCCCATCCACTTCCATACGTTCCTCCCAGCCCTTTCAACTTTACATCGCATCTCCATTTCCCCTGGAGATCGTCGTTCTGTCGCAACCCCAGACACCGGGATTCCCGAAGTAGTGCAGCAGGGGCCCTTCCAGCCCACTGAAACAAACGTTTTGGAGCATCGCAGCATCGCGTCGCAGCGGCTCGTCGCAATGGCGACGGCGTCTCTCACACAGACCGTGCTGCGATGCCGTCAGCCGTCGATCGTCCATTGTGTTCGCCAAGCCAACAGCCATAGCCAATCCTCACTCTCCCATCGCCATTCCTCAATTTCTCCGTCACGCAACCTCTCGTCCCTACACAGCATTTCGACAGCCATCTGCCGAGCATGCACTCACGCGATCCTTCCAGGAAGTTTTCATAGGCAATCCCAGGGTTCACCCTTGACTTTCTGTCCCGGCCATGCTTCACTTCCCAGCCTGTCCGTGCGCGCCTCGGCGTCGAATGCGCCGGCAGTTGCGGAGGAATTGGCGGAGAAGACGGAGAAAGCGGAGAAGGGGGATAAGAAAGCTGCTTCGCGGGGACCGTCGGCGGCGGGTCCGCCTGCCCCGGGGAAAGCGGGAGGTGCGGGGGGCAAGGCGGAACTGATCGACGTGAGCCCGCCACGTGGCACTCGAGACTTCCCCCCTGACGACATGCGACTGCGCAACTGGCTCTTCGGACATTTCAGACAGGTCGGCCTTTAGATGTGGCCGCTAGGTCGTCATAATCCGCAGCACCGCACATCCAGCTCACGGGCCTGACATGGACATTATGGACATTACCTCCAGGGGGAGGAGCCATTAGGAGGATTAGCCAATATTAAGCTTTTATTCTTAATTTAGAAATATCAGATGTCGTCTGTGCGGGAGCTGAGAGTGCGCAGGTGTCGCAAGTGTGAGGCTTGGGGGAGGCGCACTACCTTGGCAGGAGAAACCACGGACGTTACAATTGCTCTGCAGGTGTAGGAATATTCGGTTTTGAAAGTCAGTCTTATTCCACACGGTCTCCCCTCGTGCAAGTATCGCAGCTGTTTGGGTTCGAGGAGGTGGACTACCCCGTGCTGGAGTCAGAGGAGGTGCCTTGTGGTCCGACTTAAAGCCTCAAGCCCTCCTTGTCTCTCCCTGCGTGCATGCAGGTATCGCAGCTATTCGCGTTCGAGGAGGTGGACTACCCGGTGCTGGAGTCGGAGGAGCTGTTCGTGCGCAAGGCGGGCGAGGAGATCACCCAGCAGGTCAGCTCCCAGGGGCCGAGCGCGGACGGAGCGGGAATGGAGGGGTAAGGAAGCGGGCAGGGAGTGGGGGAGGAGTGGGGAAGGAGTGGGAAAGGAGCGGGGAAAGAGCGGGGAAGGAGTGGGGAAGGAGCGGGGAAGGAGCGGGGAAGGAGCGGGGAAGGAGTGGAGAAGCAGAGGCGAGGCGAGGCAAGACAAGGCAGCGTATGTGTCGTTTACTACCTATGTCAGCCCTCGTTACCTGGGGTGTCACGTAACCCCAACCTCCCTGTAACCTCACTCCCCTGTGGTCTCACTGTAACCCCACCCCACCTCCCTGTGACCCGTGTTTCCCTCTCGCGGGTGGCGTGTGCATGGCATGCTGCGTGTGCATGGCGTGTGCGTGGCGTGTGCATGGCGTGTGCGTGGCGTGTGCATGACGTGTGCGTGGCGTGTGCATGGCATGCGCACAGCTGTACAACTTTGAGGACAAGGGTGGCCGCCGCGTGGCTCTGCGCCCCGAGCTCACGCCCTCGCTCGCCCGCCTCGTGCTGCAGAAAGGGTGAGCACCCTTGGGAATGCCGCCGCCCCGGCAGGGGTAAGCTCAATGGAGAATAGCAACAAGGGCCAGTTGAGGTCAGGGTGCAGTGGACAGGAGAGTCTGATACGCCGCCCTCATTCTGTCTGCGCTGTGGCCGGGCCGGGTCACCACATGAAAGCTCGTTCAGAGCACCGGCAGTGGACTGGTCTCTGCCTCGTGCCACACTTCCCTCGCTCCCATTGCCCAACCCTTTCCTTGTCTCTCAACTCCATCTCCTGCTAATCTCTCTCTTCCTCCCCTACCCTGCCGTCCCCTCCACATCCCTCTTCCTTGCTCTGCAACTGTGCATGCATGCGCGCACATGTGTTGACGGACTGTTCCTCGGAGCAGCAAGTCACTGGCGCTGCCGGTGAAGTGGTTTGCGATTGGGCAGTGCTGGCGCTACGAGCGCATGACACGTGGCAGGCGCAGGGAGCACTACCAGTGGAACATGGACATCCTCGGAGTGCCGGGAGTGGAGGTCAGTCCCTTCCCAAATCACTGAACCCTAAATCCTGGTTGCACTCTAGTGCCACCCCTCGCCCGAGAACTGGCTGTGGCAGCCTTCCATCCGGGACTGGAGCTGCAGTCCCGGGTGTGGGGCTGGAGCTGCAGTCCCGGCTCATCCAAATCTCCCTCCCAGTCTTAGACACCCCTATCCCCCTTACATCTCCCTCTCAGGTATCCCCTTTTCCCTCAAATCTTCACGCGCAGGCGGAGGCGGAGCTTCTGGCAGCGGTGGTGGCGTGCTTTACACGCATGGGGCTCTTGAGAAACCCATACAAATACCATCTTCTCCTCATCTCCCTTCTCACCGCCGCCTTCCTCACACCCCACCTCTCACTCTCCCCTCTCAACCAGGCGGAGGCAGAGCTGCTGGCAGTGGTGGTGGCGTTCTTAACGCGCGTGGGACTCTTGAGATTCCCAATGAAAGGCCTTCTTGTTCCGCACTCTGTACCTCTCCCACTCCCCCTCCCCCTCTCGTTCCCTCCCACACCTCTATTTCCATCTATACCCCTGGGTGCGACCAGGCGGAGGCAGAGCTGCTGGCAGCAGTGGTGGCGTTCTTCACACGCGTGGGGCTCTCCTCCAAGGACGTCGGCATCCGCGTCTCCAACCGCAAGGTACCGCTCTGCACCCTCTTCTTTCACCACCCCTTCCGCCTGTCACCCACTCAAACCACTCTTCACTCATCACACATGTCTGCTTGTCTTAGATGTGAATCCACTCACTCAAACCACTCTTCCTCCCAATCCTGGCAGGTGCTGCAAGAGGTGGTGGAGGGCAGTGGTGTACCAGCTGACAAGTTTGCAGCAGTGTGTGTCGTGGTGGACAAGGTCAGTGCATTGTATATTCCTTCCCCACATCCGTATCTCCCTTTGCTGTGCGGCAACAAACTCCCTTTTGAGACTCTAGCCACCACGCCTCAGCTCCTGGCCTGCATTCCACCACCCTGTCACCCCTCCTCCCGTGTGCGTGTGTGTGTTATTGCGACCAGAGGGACAAGATAGGAGAGGGGGCGGTGGGGAAGGAGCTGGCAGAGTTGGGCGTGGGGGAGGCGGCAGCACGGGCCATCCTCGCCACCATGAACATCTCTTCCCTATCGCAGCTAAGAGGTGCACCAGCAGGCCAGCCCGTAGAATGTGCTCGCTCGTATGGAATAGCTGTGCGCTGTGGAAGAAGCTTTAGGCTCTTTCTGCCTCGTCTCCTATTGTTGACGCTCCCGTCTCGGCCTTCCCTCTCCCTATTTCCTCCACTATCTCCCCTTTCCCCTCGCATGTACTCATCTCCATCTTACTTTTCCGAATTGCCTACCACCATCACCTTCTGTGCGGCTGTCACCTGCTTGTGCAGAGCACATGGCAGCGAATGGCGGCCAGGAGGGTGGCAGTGCAGCGGTGGCTGACTTGGAGCGGCTCTTCTCCCTCGCAGAGGCACACGGCTTTGCGGATTGGCTCGAGTTTGACGCCTCTGTTGTGCGCGGCCTCGCATACTACACCGGCACCGTCTTTGAGGTATTTTTTATCCCTCCTGAATCTCTCACTGTGTGTTGAAGGCACTGTCTGTGAGCCAATTCTCTTTTATGTTTTCCATCAACCAACCGATTTCTATGCTCAGTTAGCCATGTCCCATGTGTTCAGGTAGATTGTTGGCATTTATGTGGTCCCTTGCTGCCACTCCCTGGTGGTCTTACCTCTCCCTCCCCTCACCACTTCTTCCTTCCCTCCCCCAACCCCCCTTCACCATCTGCTCCTGCGAGCACGGGCAGGCGTTTGACAGGGCGGGGGAGCTGAGGGCCATCTGTGGAGGGGGGCGGTACGACCGCCTGCTCTCCACCTTTGGGGCTGCCTCCGACACGCCCGCCTGCGGCTTTGGCTTTGGGGACGCCGTCATTGTCGAGGTGAGGCAGGCTGCATTTTTTAGTCGACCCAACTCTCCACCTTTGGGGCTCCCTCCGACACTCCCGCCTGCGGCTTTGGCCTTGGAGATGCTGTCATTGTCGAGGTGAGGCAGGGTTGCAGCGTACCAGACACTGAAAATGAAGGACTATGAGTGGGTGTGTGTGTGGCGTTTGCGGGTGTGTGCCTCCACCTATGTTATTTTCCCTCTCTTCATGTCAACCTTGGCCCTTATTGAAAGTTTGCAGCACCACATTCCTTTCAACCATGTCTTCACCTTCCACTGTTCCCCCGGTTCCCTTCCACAGCTTTTTAAACAGAGGAATCTTTTGCCATCGCTCCAACAGACAGTCGATGACATCGTCGTTCCTCTCGACGAATCACTCAACGGCGCGGCTGCATCAGTGGCAGCTAGACTGCGCCAGAAAGGCAGGCGGGTCGACCTGGTGCTTGAGAACAAGCGGCTGAAATGGTACGAGAGGATCCCTGTACAGATACCAATGAATCAGCTTTCTGTTCAGGCAACTCCGCTGATTTGCCTATTGAATATTCAGTATAATAACATTGTCTCTACCTGTGTCCTTTACGTCTTCCAGGGCGTTCAAGCATGCAGAGAGAGTCAATGCACCAAGGATGATCATTCTTGGTTCATCAGAGTGGGAACGGGGGGTGGTCAAAGTGAAGGACCTTGCTGCTAGGGAGGAGGTGGAAGTTTTGATAGCAGATGTTGCATAGAGACCTTCGGTATTTGTGGTCAGTAATCATCATATTGTTTCATCATAATATTGCTTCCCAATCAACATGCTTTCCCAGCAATTCTACGAAGGTAAGATATATGTTCAGTGACAATTACAGGTGGGTGTGCAAAATCGACATGGTCAACAAAATTGCAGGGTAGAACGGAAAGACCAGGTGACCAGGATATTTTCCAGCGTTGCAAGATGCACGGACACCCTTGCTCCACCTCAGACTGTGGTCAAGCCCTAGTGGCCCACGTCATGTGGCCCATCAAATGAATTATTTCGCTGTGTCCTCCAATAGCATCTCTAGCGCAACACTGAGTAAGATTCGCGTCGCGCTCGCCTTGTAGCCTAGTTGCTGAATGCGCTCCGTTCATTGGCTTGCTTACCGCAAATCAAGGCTCCGAAGGGAAAACTTTCGGCCAACTTCATTGATACTCAAATTATGCCTGACGCGGTTTGCAAGCGTACTCAACCGACAATTTCGCAGTATAGTCAGTACAAATACTTGTTTTAAACATTATAAGCACAATATTGAAACAAAGTCGCCACCAGCAGGTCCGCACATACCCAACCAAAAAGGAAACATACTAAAACGCTTGGATAACCAAGAAATAATCTGGTAATGTCAACCCTAAATACGGGATGTCGCCTGGTGTTTAGGTTTATATGCTAGAACAAACAACACCTCCCAGCGGAGCTTGCTACCCGAAAGGCAATAAAAAACAGCCCTCCTACTGAAAGGCATCCAGTAAGGATGGCATCAACCCTTAAAACCTTGTCGCATTATGTCGTCGACCCTATTCCATTAAGTTATTCCTCATCTGCATTTTTTCCTATAGGCTTTTTATCTTAACGAAATTCGCGCTTTATAAAAAAATTATTTGTAAAGGGTTGAGTATTCATTGCTTTTTTCTCTATTGTAAGGTAGCACCTCCACATAATATTGTCTAGTTAAGTTCGGTTATCGCGTTCCGTTTCTATGACATGTCGGAGGTTTTTTTGGCCTGAAAAGTGTGATTGAAAAGCGAGAACCAATCAGCGATGAGAAATCGAAGTTGAGTACGCTTGCAAACCGCGTCAGGCATAATTTGAGTATCAATGAAGTTGGCCGGAAAACTTTGGCGGTGTCCACTTCCGCCGAGCCGGATTCGATCGGTTTGTTGGTGAGATGAGAGGGTCATGGCGGAATGGGAGAATCGGGGTTTCCGGGGAGTGACCACTTTTGCTTGCGGGGGGAACATGTGCTGTGCTGGACTGCTTTCATAGCTGCGCGAATCGTAGCTGTTGCCCTCCCGCCACATTTCAGACCTCGATCTGTACAACTTGTCTTCCTTTGATTTGCGGAAGGCTCACGTTCTAGATCTGAACCGTTCGCAGTACTTCTCTCCGATTTCATCGAGCAGTGCAGCCTGCCCATTTCCACCTCGATCTGTACAACTTGTCTTCCTTTGATTTGCGGAAGGCTTACGTTCTAGATCTGAACCGTTCGCAGTACTTCTCTCCGATTTCATCGAGCAGTGCAGCCTGCCCATTTCCACCCCAGCATCCGAGCCTCCCAAGGTCGCGAATTCACTCACATCCTAGGCGTGGATCTGGCCAAACACGAGCTGCTGTCGCACGCCCCGAGAACAACCTCCACGTGACCCCCTCGGTCGTGGTGCTTTCCCCCATGCCCACAACCCTCCCCATCACTGCGATCCTGAATGCCTCGCGAACGGCGACCACTTGCGTTGCCGAACTGGAAACAGACCACAAAAGAGTTCTTGCGAGTCTCGTCAATGTGGTTACTTCGAAAATTCCAACCAGAAATAGTTCGTCAAGATGCCTCACAACCCGAAGCGATCCACTGATGACCCCTCCAACCACTGCTTGGGCTCCGCCACCACCATCCCTCTCTTCTCGCCTCTACTTCAACCTCCATTATCATTCTCACCTCCATTCCAGACTGAGAGCCTCTTGTGCCTAGTTCTTTTGAAGGCCCTGAAGTGGGACAGCTGGACTCTGCCCGTGGTACTCTTCTCGGTGCAGAGATCACAGCAGATCATCATGGTGCGTGTCTTAGCGATGCAGACTATATCGTCCCGTGTAGCGTGTTTAGGTGTATGCAGTCTGCGATTGAGCTGACGTGACGGCGTGCTGCTTTGTGTCTGTTCAGGGTCGTGGTGGTTGCGAAGGTGAGGTCACCAAGGCTCGCGTCGCAGCCGTGGAGACCGTCGCCAGCAATGCCGGCGGGCTCACGAAGCGATCAGTCGCCGGATCCAACGGCAATGCGGTGAAGCAATTCACCATGGACGAGGTGTCGAAGCACAACCGCCCAGGGGACGCCTGGGTCGTCGTCCAAAACAAGGTGCGACTTGAATCTGCAACTGTCTTAATCTGTCCTAGTTCCGATTCTGCTCGTCCCGGTTCTCTCTTGGCTCCGATTTGTTCAACATCCTGTCTGATCCGGACATTATTTATCTCGCGTGTCGGTGGATCGTGCAGGTGTACGACGTGAGCGACTTCGCGGACCGGCACCCAGGCGGGCGCGTGATCTACTCGCTGGCGGGTCGCAACGCTACTGACGTCTTCGCCGCCTTCCACAAGCCGTCCACCAAGGCGTTCCTCGCCACGCTGCAAATCGGCGAGCTTAAGGTACGCTCGGTCTCGATTGCTATAGAAGCGATAAAACTAATCAGACGAACCGTAATCGTCTAGTGACTACCACCCAAGTGAACGCCAGTTTCGCTAGAGCCTCCCTCGTATCGTTCAAATATGGAATACGGATCTTAAGCCTACTAGCAATTTGCACGGAAGGGGATAGTCTAGTACCTTTCTTGTAGCCCTTCCCCACAAGGCTTTCGACGTTTCGGCGACGACACGACACATTTCTCATCGCGAACGATTTCCGATTGCTTGCCGCTTCGTCTGTTGCTCTCCCATTGCTCGCCGCTTCGTCCGCTACAGGACAGCGAGGTCGAGCCGACGGGCGATCTTCTCAAAGACTTCCGCGATCTGCGGGCGTCGTTCGAGGCGAAGGGGTACTTCAAGAGCAGCCCGGCGTACTACGTGTTCAAGGTGCTCTCCACGTTCGCCATTGTCGCCGCCAGCCTCGCCATCATCATGTGGACGTCCGACCCGCGCTGGGTGCTCTTCTCCGCCATGCTTCTCGGGCTCTACTGGCAACAAGTCGGCTGGCTCTCGCACGACTTCCTTCACCACCAGGTCAGCGCCTCGCGCACCCTTCCTGCTGAAAGTGGTTTTGTTCGTGGGTACCAAAATCAATTAGTCGTCGTGAGAGAGCAATCTGAGATATACTCATGCAACACGCACGCATCGCGGTTTTTCGAATTATATCTACCGTCAACTGACTGTGACTGACATAGAGTCGTGACGTGGCTCGTGCAGGTGTTCCAATCGCGGTTCTGGAACACGTTCATTGGCGGGTACATCCACGGCAACCTGGCCATGGGCTTCAGCACCAGCTGGTGGAAGAACAAGCACAACACGCACCACGCCGTGCCTAACGAGTGCGACAAGGAGTACCGCCCTATTGATCCCGATATCGACACTCTGCCGTACCTCGCGTGGAGCGAGGACATTCTCGCGACCGTGAAGAGCAAGACCGTGCGGTCACTGCTGCGTTACCAGAGCCCGCTCTTCTTCCCCATCCTCTCCTTCGCCCGCTTCGCCTGGTACGCGGATCTTCACGACGCAGAACCGCATGTCTCATTGTCTTCAAGCTCGTCGCATTGTCCTCCGTTGTTTATGTCCTTGAGTTTAGCCCTTGGAACCAGCTTGACGCGTAACCCTCACAATATCCCTCAACGTCCCGCCATACAGGTCGTACGCGAGCCTGACTTACTGCTTCTCGGACGACGTGCCTGAGAAGGAGCGCTTCTGGGAGCGGCTGTTCATGGTGCTGCACTACGCATGGGTGCTGGGCTTCGGGTTCGGCTGCCTGCCGTTCTGGACGGCCGTCATGTGGATGCTGACGGGGCAGATCTGCGGCGGGCTGTTCCTGGCGGTGGTGTTCGTGCAGAGCCACAACGCCATGGAGATCTACAACGAGGGCAAGGACTTCTACACTGCCCAGGTGCGCTGCATTGGAAAACCACGGATTCTTTTAGATGGGGAAGCTGGCGAAAGGACAAGCAGGGCTGGGAGCAGTTTTGCGGGGAAGAAACGTTAAGATTCTGTCATGAAATCATAGTCAGGCCTGTCCTTGGGCTAGAACAGGCCAACCTTGATCAAGTGCATGCCACTCACCTTGTACCACCATTGCCCTCTCCAAACCCTTTTCAGATTGTGACCACGCGCGATGTGAACGGCGGCCTCTTCAACGACTGGTTCACGGGCGGGCTGAACAGGCAGCTGGAGCACCATCTGTTCCCCACCATGCCGCGGCACCACGGGCAAGACGTGCAAGGCAGTGAAGGAGCTGTGCGAGAAGCACGGGCTCGTCTATGAGGATGTGTCTTTTGCCAAGGGCACGTCGCTTGTGCTCGAGCACCTCAGCAGAATTGCAGAGAAGGCCTGATGTGTTGCTCTTGTTGTAAAACACCACATTGGGCTTAGAACTTAGCAACGCCTGTGTTGCACACATGGTGAGTCCATGTGGAATGTTGCCTACCTGCCCTGAGGGCATCATTTTGTGTGTCTAGGGAAGGAATGTATTTAGTGAGTATAAAACGTCCTGCTCTTGTGCTGGAAAGAATTTTGCCATCACTTGGCTATCTCTGTCTGATGTCAAACTACGTTATCACTTTTTTACAAATCTAACCAGGCCATCAGCTACCAACATGAAAAGTTGATTGCAACCTATCCTTCTTCACCACCATATTAGACTCCAGTGCAGGGCTCAGGTTATCAGTGTAATTTACCCTTCTACACTGATTACAAGGGTGAAATTTTGGGTCTACACTGATGTGCTGGGGTAATTTTTTTATGAGTTAGTGTTACACTGATCAGTAAGTGTATCGATGTAGGCCACACTGTCAAAATGAAGAATGGATGATGCATTGATGTTGGTTGGGGTACATATAGCTAACCCTAAGTTTTGTACCCCCTAAGACAAACCTCACTATAGGCTACAACATTTGACACACCCCCATAGCCTAAGTGAGGGGTGTCTAGCAGAACCAAACGAGTACGGTCACAAGACCAGTCCAAGAAACGAAGCTCAGGGTGGATCACAACGTCACCACACAGTCTGAGCACAAACAACAGTGGCCACAAGGCCAGTCCAAGAAGTAACAGAGGTATATAGAAAGCAAAGTAAACAGTACACTCAAGTCTAAGCAACACGAGAACCAGTGTCAACAAGGCCTAACTGCACACAGCACCTCTGGTGGTCACAAGGCGGAAGCGCCTTGGTGAAGATGTCTGCAGTGTTGGCCTCGGACTCCACAAACTCAAAGCGAGCCTGTCCACGCCTCTGCAACTCTCGCAGAAGAAAGTACCTGACGTGAATGTGCTTCACTCTGCTCTCCAGTCGTGGCTCTCGACAAAGGAGAATAGACGCCTTGTTGTCAGTGAACAAGGTCGGTGCAGAGCTCGGCCGCTCACCAAGGTCGGTGAGCAAGAAGGTCAACCAACGCAGCTCCTGTGCCGCCATGGCACCAGCGTAGATCTCAGCCTCAGCTGTAGAGGTCGAGACCGAAGAGGAGCGCGTGGACCGCCAGGAAACAGCTCCAGAACCCAGGCTGAAACAGTACCCCTGAGTAGACCTGTGAGTCTCAGCGTCGTCAGCGTAAGAGGAGTCACAGTGACCAGTAAGTACGACAGACTGCTGCCCTCCAAGAACTAGCCCCACGCCTGACGTCGACGCTAGGTACTTCGCCACCCTCACAGCTGCTGTCCAGTGAACAGGACGGTGTCTCCCTGGCGCAACAAAGCGCGCAAGAACGCTGAGAGGGAAGGCGAGGTCCGGGCGAGTACAAGTCATCAGGTACATGAGGCAACCCACAAGCTCTGCGTAGGGACCACTAGGCTCGAACGGCTCGTCAGGAAAGGGTCCAGTGAGTCTGTGGTCAACAGCAAGAGGTGTGCGCTGTACTGTGGAGTGCTGAAGCCCGAACCGCTGAAGGACCTGCTGCACCATGTGTGACTGTGAAAGTGTAATGGTGCGAGCAGCTCTGTCCCTGGTGATCTGCAGGCCAAGGTAGTGGCGCAGCTCACCAAGATCAGTGCAGGTGTGTCTCTTCTGCAGTTCGGACTTCACGTGTGCCAAAGCAACCCTGTCAGGGGTGGCGAAAACAAGGTCGTCAACGTAGACCAGAACAAAGAAAGGTGTGGGGCCACGACGAACGAACAGCGACGGGTCAGCAGAAGACGGCTGGAACCCAAGGTCAGACAGGGTAGAACGCAGGGTGTCGTGCCACTCACGAGGAGCCTGACGAAGACCGTAAACCGGTCGCCTCAGCCTCCACTGGGTCCCAGGAGGGAAAGAGCCAGTGAAGGCAGAGGGACGACGCAACCAGACCTCCTCGTGAAGACTGCCCTGAAGGAAAGCAGTAGAGAAGTCGAGAGAGTGTAACTCGTAGTCTCTCTGTGCTGCTACGTGTAGTAACACCCGAAGAGTGGTCATCTTCGGGGTGGGCGCGAAGGTCTGAAAGAAGTCAACTCCCTCGCGCTGACTGAAACCTCTAGCCACGTAGCGCGCCTTGAAGACCGGAGGAGATCCCGGTGGCCGCTTCACCCTGTAGATCCACATGCCGTCGACTACGTTCGCCCCCGGAGGGGGAACCTCATCGACGTAGGTGCCTGTGGATCTGTAGGAGGCCATCTCTGCGTCCATGGCAGCTCTCCACTGAGAGGCCCAAGGCCCTGACACTGCCTCAGCGTAAGTGCGAGGAGTCGGAATGTCAAGGGCGTCGGGGTCACCCTCAGGGGCGAGGAGCATGGCACAGAGATGAGGGGAAGCGGCCGCCAGGAACTCTAGCTCAAACTGCCTGTCCTCTAGGGCGTCACTGCCAAGGGCAGACACACCCCCGACGGCCAGAGGACTGGAAGGAGGAGCAGCCACAAGAGCGGTGGCGAAGTCAAGGCGGCGGGTAGAGGCAAACTCAGTGACTGCGGCAGTAAGAGCGGACACAGAGGACACAGAGGCACGAGGGTGGGTAACAAGAGAGGCGAGAACACGAGAGAGAACAGGACGGTACGTGCGGTAGTAGTCAGTGACAGGAGAAGGAAGCGACACAGTGAGGGCCGACTCAGGAGGAGACGGAAGCACAGACGGAGACGGACGAGGTGGACGAGAACAAAGGAAGGCTGTACGAAGGTCAGTGAAGGGAACAGGAGACGAGGGACGAGCACGAGGGGAGCGACGAGAGGCCCAAGTCTGAGAAGGAGGAGGAGACAACGAAGACTGAGAACGAGGGAAAACAGCGGGAGAGGGGTCAGGAGGAGGAAGCGGAGGACCAGAGACGGGAGGAGAGGGGGAGGAGGAAGGAGAGGGAGACGGGAGACCTGATGCCTTGGGGTAAAGTTTCCCTTAGCGAGGATTACACTGAAAAGCGTATACGGACCCCCACACCCACCCCCCCCCCTCCCCCCCACCCTCCCCCCCCTTCCCCACAAACAATCGGTCGAGGGGAAGGGGAGGAGAAATTGTCGCCAATTTTGTAAGTCCTCCCCTTCCCCCCCGCCCCTCACAAACAATCGATCGAGGGGGCAGGGGACCTGGGAGGCAGATAACTTTCTCGCCACCTGTCATACACACCTAATTTACACATGGTCAGTGCTTGAAATAAAACCACACTGATGATGCAGGGTAAAAATTTCAAAACCTGATGTTACACTGCTCTATCAGTGTAATGGAAAAGTACACACTGCCCATAAGGGTTTTTGAAAAAGCTACACTGCCAATCATGAGTAGGCCAAAACCAAACCTGAAGCTACACTACCTGAGCCCTGCTCCAGTGCTGCAGTAAATGGTAAAATGGACCTCATAGTCAAACTGTCCCCAAGAACTTTACTGTATTGCTGTAATGGTATGGTTCTGCATTCAATGTTGCTGGTGGGGAGGAAGACTTACCGGTAGCGCCAGAAACGGCACCCCTGACTAGTATTGCGGCAAAATTGAGGCGCAAATTGTAGGAACCGGGCAGCCCAGAATGATAACAACAAATAACATTTGACACTACATTGTGTTGACATTTTGCATGTGATGTTTTTATCCCATAACCAATGAGCATGAAAGGACAGATACAAGTGCCGTACCATACATTTTCCAGTATCAAATTTGGAGGCAGATGTTATGAAAAGGAATAATTTATTAGCAAAATAGAACTATGGCAGAGTGAGATTCATCATGTGGATTGCAGGAACTAGTGATCATTCTACAATGCACCATGCCTGGCATGCCACTTGCCAGGCCACCATGAGACAATCCCCTAGGCCACATGATAAAACACACCACTGCCGTGACACAACTAGGCACACAGAACTACAAATTAAAGCTAGCGCAAGACTTGTCTTGATCAAGGATGCTTCAGAACGGGCAGGAGAAAAGGAGCGGCGATAGTATATGACATGCGCTTGCAGACGACGCGTCCTAATTGGCCCACACGCCGAAGAATTCCGCATCACCAGTGGCAGCAACCTGCGACGCGTCAAACGCATCGAAGTCATCAAGCATGTCGCGGAAGATGTTGTCCGTGTTGTCAATCGGCGCCAGGTCGGCCAGCAGCGCGTCCAGGCACTCCGCGTCCTCCTCGCTGCTCGTCTCGCTCTCCGTCGCCTCCAACTTCACACCGCCCATTGCGGCCGACGGCTCCAGCTCCGGAAGAGACGCTGGCGAAGCAGGCGCAGGGGGGAAAGCGGGAGACGGGAGCGGGAGCGAGAGGCCGGCGGTGTGAATGGCCTGGCCCTGGAGGGACTTTTCGAGAGCATCAGCAATTTCCGACGTGTCGAACATCTTCGCGGCCTCGCGGCTCGCCTTCAGCAGCGTCTCGGCGGTGGCGGGCGGCAGCGGGACCAGCTGAAAGCTGCCGGGGAAGTTCAGCGAAGCCTTGGATCCGCGGAGAAGGCGCGCGGCAACATCGTACGCGCGGGCGGCGTCCTCGGGGGAGTCGAACGAGCCGAGCCAAATGCGCGTGCGCTTGCGAGGCTCGCGGATTTCCGACACCCACTTTCCCCACTTGCGCTGGCGCACGCCCTTGTACCGCGGACCCTGGTCGCGCGCCGCGATAACTTCAGAGTCAGAATCCTTGTCTTCTTCCTCTGAAGACCACGCGGCAGCGTCAAGAGAAACCGGCTCCTGCTTGGCGCGCTTTCCACGGACAACCTTGGCGGAGTCACCACCGCGGGAGCGCTTCCTCGCAAAGACCTTTTGAAGAACAGGCAGAGACGACGGGTGGGAACCCTCGGACGACGCGGGGGAGGCCGCGAAGGATGTTGCAGCAGATGGAGCTGGGGAGGGCGCGAACAGCGAGGACGTGGCGGGCGAGTCGTGCGCGATGAGCGGGTGTGGCGCGGGGGCCGGGGCGGAAAGGGGAGCCTGGGACAGATTGTTGAGCGCGGGGACGGAGAAGGCGAGGGAAGACTGCAGCTGCTGAAGCGCGTCGACCTGCTGGCGCTGCTGCTGCTGCTGCTGCTGCTGCTGCTGCTGCATGGCGCGCTGGTTCTGGCTGACGGCGTCGACGAGGCGCACGAGCCCCATTATCGCATTCTGCGCCGCGAGCAGCGCATTGCCGAGCGCCGCCTCGCCGTCAACAGGGGGGTCGACGATGGGAGAGACGGGGGAGGAGAGAGGGTACGACTGCTGCTGCTGGTACTGCTGCTGGAACTCCATTTCTCAAAGGAAGGTGAAGGAATTGAGAAGCAGGAATTAGACGGTGAAGTAGAACTGCGTAGCTTGAGAGAAAGTATTAGAGGGCTGCGGTGTCTCAGAGAGTGGAAGAGGGAGCTGCTTCAGGGGTTTCTGACAGAAGGCTGGAGGGATAAATTCCAAGAAGAAACCTTGAGAGCGAGTTTTAGAAGAGATATATAGGAAAGTCGGGAAGCACAGAGAATGGGGTGTAAAAGGATCGTTAGGGAAGTAAGGAGGCAAGTCGTAGCCTACTTACTCCGCTAAAAGGACATCTCCTGCCTGGCGGCGGAGAGATGTCAGTTTAGCAGAGAAGAGGAACGAAACGCGGAACGCTACTAAGGGAACAAAACCGCAGAGCGGCGCAGGATCGCACTATCAGAACGCTTTCCGAGAGCAATTGGGAGCTTTGAAGAGAGCACTGGAAGTCTCAAATGAGAAGTGAAGCTGATATAATTGTTCAGCAAGAGAGAGGCGGATGGGGCAAGGAACAATGGTTTGCTGGAGGAAGTGGTTAGAGGGGATGGGCGGAACGCGAGAGGAGGTGTGCGGAACCTGAGGGAATGTGCGGATCGGGAGAGGAAGGAGCAGCCCCGCGGAGTGAAAAAGATGGCGGGAAAGTGGAAGGGTGGATGGATGGGGAGAGGGCGGGAGGGAGGGGAGGTGAACGGGGGAAGGGAGTGAGGGAAGGGAAGCTAGGAGGAAGGGAAGCTCGACTGAAACCCCAATGCTTTTTCGCACCAAGAATTTCGCCGATGATTGCGGAAAGGGAGACCCCTTGTAGAGGTCCTGCCCTGCACGCCCCCAACGTTTCCAGAACACTCAACAAGATGCGGTTGATGTTGAACGGGCATCATGGGGGAAGACGCCCGTGCAGAACTGGGGAGAAAAGGGGAACGTGCGCTGCGCTTGGGACCACGAGATTGCGCCCCCCGACAACCCCGGTTGAGAATGGCGCTCCGCGAAGCAAATTCAGCAGCGCGGCTGAAGCGGGTCATTCTGACATGAGCCCGCGACGCGAGTCAGAACTGTAGGCAGCATGGAGCAAAGCGTCACGTGAGTGATGCAAGCAGGCCACCTCACCAACAAAACAACCAGAATTGAGGGGTTGGTGCAAGAAAACTGCACGTAGGCAGTACATGTCGACACTTAACGGAACACAGGGTGTGAAGGCAAGCCTGCGGGCATCCACACCTAACAAGTCAGAAAATTTCTAAATAACGGACGAACTGTAAACTGAAGCGAACATTCCTACAGACCCCCCCAAACCCACTGGCCCAAATGAAGCCAAAAGGCGCAAGTTGGGCTTGCAATCTATCCAGCTGTGCAAGTGACGGCGGGCAGGTAATAAAAAATCTTCGATTGAGAGACACTCGCTTGACGTACATAGCTTCAAGCACAAATTCATGAAGTTCTTAAGCCAATGAAACGCGTATGATATCAGGCGCATACATGGCAGCAGCCAAACAATTTAAACCAAGGAATTAAATTTATGACATTGTTTGAGAGCATTAATTTGTATCATTTCGAATCACTGAATATGGAGTCAACAACTGTAACAGCCGCCGCCCTAGCTGCAATATCACCTGACACTGCATGCTCTTCAAAATACCTCATCAGCCCTTGAAGCTTGCCTCCCGACCTAAATCTGGACAAATGAGCCAAAACGAACATAGTCAGGAGATAAGCATAATGGAACACTAAAATTTCTAAAAACAACACAATGTAGATATGGGAGAATACATGAATAGGACTCACTTGTACAGTATCTCCGCCTCCACAGTGCTCCACAGCAGTGCCTTGTTCTGCACGCCTCTCAGTTGCTGCAGCTCACCAGACGAGCGCATGGCTTCCTGGAACTTTCCTATCTTCTTCCACACGTCCTCTATGCCCAGCCCTGTGCGCGTGCTGCACGCCACTACCTGCCGGGCCAAAGGGGGCAGCCACAGAGAGGGGTGAGTGAGGATAGAGGAGATTGCTGAAGAATGGGAGTGCAGCATGCATGGGTGGTGCATGCATGGGTGCCGGTTGTATATGATGCGCCACTGTAACGCATAGACACAGCATGTGTGATGGCATAAATTCCCACTCCAAACGGCATGCAAGACCCAAATCTACACTCCACACGCTGACGCCAGGTCACTGTAATGAATTTCCAAGGGGGTCCTCTATAATAAGTGCACTGCACTGCACTCAAGCATTGCAGCATCCAAACACTGGGCCACCCAAAGGCCGTGGCAAGGGGACAGAAAGGGCGGCGCGTTGCTGTACTCAAGAAGCGAGACAGCGACTAACGGCTTGGCCCTTTCCAGATCTAGAGCTCACCGGGGTCATCCAGAAGTCGTAGCGTGGGTGCACGAAGTGCAGTGCGCTGCTGTATTTGAGAAGTGAGACGGCCAGGGCTTGATCAATTCAAGATCTTGACCTCACCGGGGTCATCCAGAAGTCGTAGCGTGGGTGCACGAAGTGCAGTGCGCTGCTGTATTTGAGAAGTGAGACGGCCAGGGCTTGATCAATTCAAGATCTTGACCTCACCGGGGTCATCCAGAAGTCATAGCGCGGGTGCACAAAGTGCAGTGCATTGCTGTACTCGCCCACCGCTGCCAGCGCTGCCCCTTCCATGGCGCCATCCGCCTTGTTCACCACCACCAGATCGGCTATCTCCACCACTCCTGCTCGAGGGCAACAAGGAGAGGGGTAAAAGAGGAAAGAAAGGAACAGTGGAGTGGCAGTTGTGTGGGACAGCGCTGCACCCTCCATGGCACCATCTGCCTTGTTCACCACCACCAGATCGGCTATCTCCACCACTCCTGGATATGATTAGGAAGGGAAAGGAGAGGATGGGAGGGGCGGCACAGTTGTTGCGCAGTTGTGTGTGTGTGCCAGCGCTGCCAGCACTGCCATTTCTGCCCACTACTGCCCCTCCATGGCGCCATCTGCCTTGTTCACCACCACTAGGTCTGCTATCTCCACCACTCCTGCACAGTGAGGGAGGGGAGGGGAGGGGAGGGGAGGGGAGGGGAGGGGAGGGGAGGGGAGGGGAGGGAGGCAATTGAGCCCCTCCATTGCGCCAATCACCTTGTTCACCACCACCAGGTCGGCTATCTGCACCACTCCTGGATACGATCAGGAAGGGAAAGGAGAGGATGGGAGGGGCGGGCACTGTTGATGCGTAGCTGTGTGTGTGCGCCAGCGCTGCCAGCACTGCCCCTTCCATTGCGCCATCTGCCTTGTTCACCACCACCAGGTCGGCTATCTCCACCACTCGTGCCTGATGGCAATGAGGATAGGAGAGGACAGGAGAGGGGATAAGGGAGGAAAGAAAGGAGCACTTGAGTGGCAGTTGTGTGTCACAGCGCTGCACCCCCCATGGGCCGTCTGCCTTGTTCACCACCACTAGGTTCGCTATCTCCATCACTCCTGCACAGGGAGGGCAGGGAGGGGATGGAGGGGATGGTTGAACCGCTCTCCACCGCACAGCTCTTCCTTCACCTTCCTTGATGCCCTGTACCTCGTCCGCCCCACCCGGTGCCAGCACCATGTCAACGACCTGCACCAGCGCTACATCCCCCCCCCCCCCGCCCACCACACTATACCGCACTGCACTGCACTGCGCACCTTTCTTGATCCCCTGCAGCTCGTCCCCTCCAGCGGGCGGCAGCAGCACCATGTCTGTGATTTGCGCCACTGCCACGTCAGCCAGCCCACCCCAACTTCTCTTCACCGCACTGCCTCAAACTTTACCGCACTGCAGTGCACAGAACCGCACTGTACTACACACCTTTCTTAATGCCCTGTAGCTCGTCCCCCCCAGCGGGCGGCAGCAGCAGCAGCACCATGTCTGTTATCTGCGCCACTGCCACGTCAGCCTGCCCGCCCCCCACCGTCTCCACCAGCAGTACATCGCACCCACTCGCCTGCACATGAGGGGGGTGCAAGGGGAAGGGGGGAGGGAGGGCTGTGTGGATGCAGAGAGCATGGAACCACGGCAGAGAGGCATCGCCACGTCAGCCTGCCCGCCCCCCACCGTCTCCACCAGCAACACATCGCACCCACTCGCCTGCACACGAGGGGCACAGGAGGATGGCCGTGGGTGCAAAGCAAGTGGAGCCACACCGCACTGGCACACTCCCTCACACAGGAGCACAAGGTGAGCTCACGAGGTGAGCTCACGAGGTCAGCTCACGAGGTGAGCTCACGAGGTGAGCTCACGAGGTCAGCTCACGAGGTGAGCTCACGAGGTGAGCTCACGAGGTGAGCTCACGAGGTCAGCTCACGAGGTGAGCTCACGAGGTCAGCTCACGAGGTGAGCTCACGAGGTGAGCTCACGAGGTGAGCTCACGAGGTGAGCTCACGAGGTGAGCTCACGAGGTCAGCTCACGAGGTGAGCTCACGAGGTCAGCTCACGAGGTGAGCTCACGAGGTGAGCTCACGAGGTGAGCTCACGAGGTCAGCTCACGAGGTCAGCTCACGAGGTCAGCTCACGAGGTGAGCTCACGAGGTCAGCTCACGAGGTCAGCTCACGAGGTGAGCTCACGAGGTCAGCTCACGAGGTCAGCTCACGAGGTGAGCTCACGAGGTGAGCTCACGAGGTGAGCTCACGAGGTCAGCTCACGAGGTCAGCTCACGAGGTGAGCTCACGAGGTCAGCTCACGAGGTCAGCTCACGAGGTCAAAAGCAGTCGAGGTGAGCTCACGAGGTGAGCTCACGAGGTCAGCTCACGAGGTCAGCTCACGAGGTGAGCTCACGAGGTGAGCTCACGAGGTGAGCTCACGAGGTCAGCTCACGAGGTCAGCTCACGAGGTCAGCTCACGAGGTGAGCTCACGAGGTGAGCTCACGAGGTCAGCTCACGAGGTGAGCTCACGAGGTCAGCTCACGAGGTGAGCTCACGAGGTGAGCTCACGAGGTGAGCTCACGAGGTGAGCTCACGAGGTCAGCTCACGAGGTGAGCTCACGAGGTGAGCTCACGAGGTCAGCTCACGAGGTCAGCTCACGAGGTGAGCTCACGAGGTCAGCTCACGAGGTCAGCTCACGAGGTCAGCTCACGAGGTCAGCTCACGAGGTGAGCTCACGAGGTCAGCTCACGAGGTCAGCTCACGAGGTGAGCTCACGAGGTGAGCTCACGAGGTCAGCTCACGAGGTGAGCTCACGAGGTCAGCTCACAAGGTCAGCTCACGAGGTGAGCTCACGAGGTGAGCTCACGAGGTGAGCTCACGAGGTCAGCTCACGAGGTCAGCTCACGAGGTGAGCTCACGAGGTCAGCTCACGAGGTCAGCTCACGAGGTCAGCTCACGAGGTCAGCTCACGAGGTCAGCTCACGAGGTGAGCTCACGAGGTGAGCTCACGAGGTCAGCTCACGAGGTGAGCTCACGAGGTGAGCTCACGAGGTCAGCTCACGAGGTCAGCTCACGAGGTGAGCTCACGAGGTGAGCTCACGAGGTCAGCTCACGAGGTGAGCTCACGAGGTCAGCTCACGAGGTGAGCTCACGAGGTGAGCTCACGAGGTGAGCTCACGAGGTGAGCTCACGAGGTGAGCTCACGAAGTCAGCACACGAGGTGAGCACACAAGGTGAGCTCACGAAGTCAGCTCACGAGGTCAGCTCACGAGGTCAGCTCACGAGGTGAGCTCACGAGGTCAGCTCACGAGGTGAGCTCACGAGGTCAGCTCACGAGGTGAGCTCACGAGGTGAGCTCACGAGGTCAGCACACAAGGTGAGCTCACGAGGTGAGCTCACGAAGTCAGCTCACGAGGTCAGCTCACGAGGTCAGCTCACGAGGTGAGCTCACGAGGTCAGCTCACGAGGTGAGCTCACGAGGTGAGCTCACGAGGTGAGCTCACGAGGTGAGCTCACGAGGTGAGCTCACGAGGTCAGCTCACGAGGTGAGCTCACGAAGTCAGCTCACGAGGTGAGCTCACGAGGTGAGCTCACGAGGTGAGCTCACGAGGTCAGCTCACGAGGTCAGCTCACGAGGTGAGCTCACGAGGTGAGCTCACGAGGTCAGCTCACGAGGTCAGCTCACGAGGTCAGCTCACGAGGTCAGCTCACGAGGTCAGCTCACGAGGTGAGCTCACGAGGTCAGCTCACGAGGTCAGCTCACGAGGTCAGCTCACGAGGTCAGCTCACGAGGTGAGCTCACGAGGTGAGCTCACGAGGTGAGCTCACGAGGTGAGCTCACGAGGTGAGCTCACGAGGTCAGCACACAAGGTGAGCTCACGAGGTGAGCTCACGAAGTCAGCTCACGAGGTCAGCTCACGAGGTCAGCTCACGAGGTGAGCTCACGAGGTGAGCTCACGAGGTGAGCTCACGAGGTCAGCTCACGAGGTGAGCTCACGAGGTGAGCTCACGAGGTCAGCACACAAGGTGAGCTCACGAGGTGAGCTCACGAAGTCAGCTCACGAGGTCAGCTCACGAGGTGAGCTCACGAGGTGAGCTCACGAGGTCAGCTCACGAGGTGAGCTCACGAGGTCAGCTCACGAGGTGAGCTCACGAGGTGAGCTCACGAGGTGAGCTCACGAGGTGAGCTCACGAGGTGAGTTCACGAGGTCAGCTCACGAGGTGAGCTCACGAGGTGAGCTCACGAGGTGAGCTCACGAGGTCAGCTCACGAGGTGAGCTCACGAGGTGAGCTCACGAGGTCAGCTCACGAGGTCAGCTCACGAGGTGAGCTCACAAGGTGAGCTCACAAGATCAGCTCACGAGGTCAGCTCACGAGGTGAGCACACGAGGTCAGCTCACGAGGTCAGCTCACGAGGTGAGCTCACAAGGTGAGCTCACGAGATCAGCTCACGAGGTGAGCTCACGAGGTCAGCTCACGAGGTGAGCTCACGAGGTGAGCTCACGAGGTGAGCTCACGAGGTGAGCTCACGAGGTCAGCTCACGAGGTCAGCTCACGAGGTCAGCTCACGAGGTCAGCTCACGAGGTGAGCTCACGAGGTGAGCTCACGAGGTCAGCTCACGAGGTCAGCTCACGAGGTGAGCTCACGAGGTCAGCTCACGAGGTGAGCTCACGAGGTCAGCTCACGAGGTCAGCACACAAGGTGAGCTCACCTCGAAGTCAGCTCACGAAGTCAGCTCACGAGGTCAGCTCACGAGGTGAGCTCACGAGGTGAGCTCACGAGGTGAGCTCACGAGGTCAGCTCACGAGGTCAGCTCACGAGGTGAGCTCACGAGGTCAGCTCACGAGGTCAGCTCACGAGGTGAGCTCACAAGGTGAGCTCACAAGATCAGCTCACGAGGTCAGCTCACGAGGTGAGCACACGAGGTCAGCTCACGAGGTCAGCTCACGAGGTGAGCTCACAAGGTGAGCTCACGAGATCAGCTCACGAGGTGAGCTCACGAGGTGAGCTCACGAGGTCAGCTCACGAGGTGAGCTCACGAGGTGAGCTCACGAGGTGAGCTCACGAGGTCAGCTCACGAGGTCAGCTCATGAGGTCAGCTCACGAGGTCAGCTCACGAGGTGAGCTCACGAGGTCAGCTCACGAGGTCAGCTCACGAGGTGAGCTCACGAGGTCAGCTCACGAAGTGAGCTCACGAGGTCAGCACACAAGGTGAGCTCACGAGGTGAGCTCACGAAGTCAGCTCACGAGGTCAGCTCACGAGGTGAGCTCACGAGGTGAGCTCACGAGGTCAGCTCACGAGGTCAGCTCACGAGGTCAGCTCACGAGGTGAGCTCACGAGGTGAGCTCACGAGGTGAGCTCACGAGGTCAGCTCACGAGGTCAGCTCACGAGGTGAGCTCACGAGGTGAGCTCACGAGGTGAGCTCACGAGGTCAGCTCACGAGGTCAGCTCACGAGGTCAGCTCACGAGGTCAGCTCACGAGGTCAGCTCACGAGGTCAGCTCACGAGGTCAGCTCACGAGGTGAGCTCACGAGGTGAGCTCACGAGGTCAGCTCACGAGGTCAGCTCACGAGGTGAGCTCACGAGGTGAGCTCACGAGGTCAGCTCACGAGGTCAGCTCACGAGGTCAGCTCACGAGGTGAGCTCACGAGGTGAGCTCACGAGGTCAGCTCACGAGGTCAGCTCACGAGGTCAGCTCACGAGGTCAGCTCACGAGGTCAGCTCACGAGGTCAGCTCACGAGGTGAGCTCACGAGGTGAGCTCACGAGGTCAGCTCACGAGGTCAGCTCACGAGGTGAGCTCACGAGGTGAGCTCACGAGGTGAGCTCACGAGGTCAGCTCACGAGGTCAGCTCACGAGGTCAGCTCACGAGGTCAGCTCACGAGGTCAGCTCACGAGGTCAGCTCACGAGGTGAGCTCACGAGGTGAGCTCACGAGGTCAGCTCACGAGGTCAGCTCACGAGGTGAGCTCACGAGGTGAGCTCACGAGGTCAGCTCACGAGGTCAGCTCACGAGGTCAGCTCACGAGGTGAGCTCACGAGGTGAGCTCACGAGGTCAGCTCACGAGGTCAGCTCACGAGGTCAGCTCACGAGGTCAGCTCACGAGGTCAGCTCACGAGGTGAGCTCACGAGGTCAGCTCACGAGGTCAGCTCACGAGGTCAGCTCACGAGGTGAGCTCACGAGGTGAGCTCACGAGGTCAGCTCACGAGGTCAGCTCACGAGGTCAGCTCACGAGGTGAGCTCACGAGGTCAGCTCACGAGGTGAGCTCACGAGGTCAGCTCACGAGGTGAGCTCACGAGGTGAGCTCACGAGGTGAGCTCACGAGGTGAGCTCACGAGGTGAGTTCACGAGGTCAGCTCACGAGGTGAGCTCACGAGGTGAGCTCACGAGGTGAGCTCACGAGGTGAGCTCACGAGGTGAGCTCACGAGGTCAGCTCACGAGGTCAGCTCACGAGGTGAGCTCACAAGGTGAGCTCACAAGATCAGCTCACGAGGTCAGCTCACGAGGTGAGCACACGAGGTCAGCTCACGAGGTCAGCTCACGAGGTGAGCTCACAAGGTGAGCTCACGAGATCAGCTCACGAGGTGAGCTCACGAGGTGAGCTCACGAGGTGAGCTCACGAGGTGAGCTCACGAGGTGAGCTCACGAGGTGAGCTCACGAGGTGAGCTCACGAGGTGAGCTCACGAGGTGAGCTCACGAGGTGAGCTCACGAGGTGAGCTCACGAGGTGAGCTCACGAGGTGAGCTCACGAGGTCAGCTCACGAGGTCAGCTCACGAGGTGAGCTCACGAGGTCAGCTCACGAGGTGAGCTCACGAGGTGAGCTCACGAGGTCAGCACACAAGGTGAGCTCACGAGGTGAGCTCACGAAGTCAGCTCACGAAGTCAGCTCACGAGGTCAGCTCACGAGGTGAGCTCACGAGGTGAGCTCACGAGGTGAGCTCACGAGGTGAGCTCACGAGGTGAGCTCACGAGGTCAGCTCACGAGGTCAGCTCACGAGGTCAGCTCACGAGGTGAGCTCACGAGGTGAGCTCACGAGGTCAGCTCACGAGGTCAGCTCACGAGGTGAGCTCACGAGGTCAGCTCACGAGGTGAGCTCACGAGGTGAGCTCACGAGGTCAGCACACAAGGTGAGCTCACGAGGTGAGCTCACGAAGTCAGCTCACGAAGTCAGCTCACGAGGTCAGCTCACGAGGTGAGCTCACGAGGTGAGCTCACGAGGTGAGCTCACGAGGTGAGCTCACGAGGTCAGCTCACGAGGTGAGCTCACGAGGTCAGCTCACGAGGTCAGCTCACGAGGTGAGCTCACAAGGTGAGCTCACAAGATCAGCTCACGAGGTCAGCTCACGAGGTGAGCACACGAGGTCAGCTCACGAGGTCAGCTCACGAGGTGAGCTCACAAGGTGAGCTCACGAGATCAGCTCACGAGGTGAGCTCACGAGGTGAGCTCACGAGGTCAGCTCACGAGGTGAGCTCACGAGGTGAGCTCACGAGGTGAGCTCACGAGGTCAGCTCACGAGGTCAGCTCACGAGGTCAGCTCACGAGGTCAGCTCACGAGGTGAGCTCACGAGGTCAGCTCACGAGGTCAGCTCACGAGGTGAGCTCACGAGGTCAGCTCACGAGGTGAGCTCACGAGGTCAGCACACAAGGTGAGCTCACGAGGTGAGCTCACGAAGTCAGCTCACGAGGTCAGCTCACGAGGTGAGCTCACGAGGTGAGCTCACGAGGTCAGCTCACGAGGTCAGCTCACGAGGTCAGCTCACGAGGTGAGCTCACGAGGTGAGCTCACGAGGTGAGCTCACGAGGTCAGCTCACGAGGTCAGCTCACGAGGTGAGCTCACGAGGTCAGCTCACTAGGTCAGCTCACGAGGTCAGCTCACGAGGTCAGCTCACGAGGTCAGCTCACGAGGTCAGCTCACGAGGTGAGCTCACGAGGTGAGCTCACGAGGTCAGCTCACGAGGTCAGCTCACGAGGTGAGCTCACGAGGTGAGCTCACGAGGTCAGCTCACGAGGTCAGCTCACGAGGTCAGCTCACGAGGTGAGCTCACGAGGTGAGCTCACGAGGTCAGCTCACGAGGTCAGCTCACGAGGTCAGCTCACGAGGTCAGCTCACGAGGTCAGCTCACGAGGTGAGCTCACGAGGTCAGCTCACGAGGTGAGCTCACGAGGTCAGCTCACGAGGTGAGCTCACGAGGTGAGCTCACGAGGTCAGCTCACGAGGTCAGCTCACGAGGTGAGCTCACGAGGTGAGCTCACGAGGTGAGCTCACGAAGTCAGCTCACGAGGTCAGCTCACGAGGTGAGCTCACGAGGTGAGCTCACGAGGTGAGCTCACGAGGTCAGCTCACGAGGTCAGCTCACGAGGTCAGCTCACGAGGTCAGCTCACGAGGTGAGCTCACGAGGTGAGCTCACGAGGTCAGCTCACGAGGTGAGCTCACGAGGTGAGCTCACGAGGTCAGCTCACGAGGTCAGCTCACGAGGTGAGCTCACGAGGTGAGCTCACGAGGTGAGCTCACGAGGTCAGCTCACGAGGTCAGCTCACGAGGTGAGCTCACGAGGTGAGCTCACGAGGTGAGCTCACGAGGTCAGCTCACGAGGTCAGCTCACGAGGTCAGCTCACGAGGTCAGCTCACGAGGTGAGCTCACGAGGTGAGCTCACGAGGTCAGCTCACGAGGTCAGCTCACGAGGTCAGCTCACGAGGTCAGCTCACGAGGTCAGCTCACGAGGTGAGCTCACGAGGTGAGCTCACGAGGTGAGCTCACGAGGTGAGCTCACGAGGTCAGCTCACGAGGTCAGCTCACGAGGTCAGCTCACGAGGTCAGCTCACGAGGTCAGCTCACGAGGTGAGCTCACGAGGTCAGCTCACGAGGTCAGCTCACGAGGTCAGCTCACGAGGTGAGCTCACGAGGTGAGCTCACGAGGTCAGCTCACGAGGTCAGCTCACGAGGTCAGCTCACGAGGTGAGCTCACGAGGTGAGCTCACGAGGTCAGCTCACGAGGTCAGCTCACGAGGTCAGCTCACGAGGTCAGCTCACGAGGTCAGCTCACGAGGTGAGCTCACGAGGTCAGCTCACGAGGTCAAAAGCAGTCTCCTCCCCACTCCCCTCTCCCTTCTCCCCACCTCCCCATTCCCCCCCCCAACCCACCTCGCACAGCAGCGCGGCGTCAGCGGTGTTGCGCGCGAGGCCCCCCACTTCCCCGCGCGAGGGCGTGGGGCGGATGAACGCGGAGGGGTGCGCGGAGAGGCGCTCCATGCGCGTCTTGTCGCCCAGGATGGACCCCCCGCTGCTGTGGGACGATGGGTCGATGGCTAGCACTGCCACTCGCCTGTCGTCCTCAACTGCGTGCATGCCCAGGCCTGGGGGAAGGAAGAGAGGAAGAGAGGAGAGGCGAGGGATCATCCCCTGCTGCTGCGCCGACGGCCGCTCCATGCGCCCAGGATGGAGCCCCCGCTGCTGTGAGAGGATGGATCAATCGCCAACACGGCCACTCGCCTGTCGTCCTCCACGGCGTGCATGCCCAGGCCTGGAGCCAGGTTTGGGAATAGGGAGCGGGGGAGTGAGTGAGATCGACCCCCCGCTGCTGTGGGAGGATGGGTCGATGGCTAAGACAGCTACTCGCCTGTCGTCCTCCACCGCGTGCATGCCCAGGCCTGGGGGATCGAAGGTATGGGAGAGGGGGAGTTGAGGTGGGGAGGGAAGAGGGAGAGTTGGTGAAGGAGGGGAGAGGGAGAGGCGCTCCATGCGCGACGTGTCGCCCAGGATGGACCCCCCGCTGCTGTGGGACGATGGGTCGATGGCTAGTACCGCTACCCTCCTGTCGTCCTCAACGGCGTGCATGCCCTGGCCTGGGGGAAGGGGAGAGGAAAGGGAGGGGAGGGGGAGAGGGAGAGCGATCATCCCCTGCTGCTGTGCGCGGAGAGGCGCTCCATGCGCGTCTTGTCGCCCAGAATCGACCCCCCGCTGCTGTGCGACGACGGATCGATGGCTAGAACGGCTACCCGTCTGTCATCCTCAACAGCATGCATGCCCAGGCTTGGGGGATTGGGGGTATGGGGGAGGGGGAGTTGAGGTGGGGAGGGAAGAGGGAGAGGCGCTCCATGCGCGTCTTGTCGCCCAGGATGGACCCCCCGCTGCTGTGGGAGGATGGGTCGATGGCTAAGACAGCTACTCGCCTGTCGTCCTGAACAGCGTGCATACCTAGGCCTGGAGGAATCAGCAGGGAGGGGAGAGAGGGAGTGGGATCATCCCCTGCTGCTGGTGCGCGGAGAGGCGCTCCATGCGCGTCTTGTCGCCCGGGATGGAGCCCCCGCTGCTGTGGGACGACGGGTCGATGGCTAAAACGGCTACCCGTCTGTCGTCCTGAACGGCATGCATGCCCAGGCCTGGGGGAATCGGGAATCGGTAATCGGGAAGACGAGGGGAATTCGAGACAGGGTAAAGGGTTGGTTGGAGAGGAGAGCCTAGATCGCTTTCGCTATAACTCCTCCCCATCTTCCTATACCCCTCCGACACTCTCTCTAGCACGTTCCGCCCACACGCACGTTCGATCAGCGACGATTTCCCCGCGCCGGGCGGCCCCGTGATTCCGATCTTGAAGATCCCCCCCTGCGCCTTCCCCGCGCCCTGCGCCGTCTCCGCCTGCGCCCTCCGCGCGCGCACCGCCTCCAGCACGTGCTGCAGCAGCGCCGCGGCCTGCGGGCGGTGCGACTCGCGCACGGACTCGCAGAGCGTGATCGCGCGGCTCAGCGCGTGCAGGTTGCCGTCCAGCACGTCCTGCGCGAGCCGCGCGAATCGCGGTTCGAGCGGCTGGAGATGGAGCTTCGGATTGGTGGTGAAGGCGCGGGAAAAGGAGGCGGGCGGAGCGGGAGATGCGGGGGATACGGCGGAGTGGGTGCTGGTGAGGGCGGAGTGAATTGCGGCGGGATTGGCGCAAGGTGTGGACCGCCCTCCGCGTTTGGCGGCGCGGAGGGCACTAGATGCGCATCGAGAAGCGGCGGTGCGCCACATGGCTGCGGCGAAGGACACGTGAGGACTGTCGTCGCCGCTCCTCGTTTGTGTGTCTGGGCAGGGAGGAGCGAGCGATAGTTTTGATGGGTGATGGGGGTGCTAAATTTACGAAGTTCAGATGAATTCGTTTCGGTCAACGCGTGCACTGGAGAGATCGAGGACACCTGTAACGAAATTCGAGGCCTGACGTGATTGATGGCTGATTGGTCGCAGGTGCGTGTCCCTTGGCTGGATCTTTCCAGCTCATTGGCTGTAACAGCTGCCACGTGTACTGCCTCTTCCTCAATACCAGGGCTCTGAGATCTCTTCGCTATTGAGCACTCATACGATTCGTTTGAATTAGAAAAGCCAGACACTTACGTACTGCTATAGAAATATACAGACAATCGTGATTAAGTTTGCCTAAGGCGAAAACTGTGGCTAATGTCGGCAGCTTTTGCGGCTCTTTGTGCTACTTTCTCATAATCCCCGCACTTCATGTCCTCTTTATTGAATATTGCTTCTGACAGGACAACTGCAACAGCCCCTGCTTCCAAGTACCCTTCGATCAGATCTGCAAGTGGAGCGGAAAGAGAAAGAGAGCATAAATAAAGATTGGGGAGGTGGTGCGGTATATCACTATGATAAACAACGGTCAACCATTGACACAAGCATAAACTCACCCATCTGAATGCCATTTGCCACTCACCCATCTGAATGCCATGCGCGGGCACTATCCCTATAGTTGGCACTGCTCGGTGCATGGCCTTCACAAGTGCCTGCCCCCCTGCATAGGGCGCTGGGAAGAGCTGATAGGGGGAGGGAGGATGGATGAGGGGAGAGAGAGGATGGGTTGAATTAACAGTGAGAATGAGAGGTGTGAAAGGATAGTGGCACCTTACAATGGACACGGCACCACTCGGCGCATGGCATGTGCTGGAGAGAAAATCGAATAATATCACACTGCTGCATGGCATGGTGTGGCACATGGAACAGCATTGCATGGCACAGCGTGGCCGCACCTTGACAAGAGGAGCTCCAAGACGAGACGCTGTGATGATCTGAGGGCAGCAGCAGGGAGGCGGACAGGAGAGCACAGTGATAGCGTGAGTGAGACACACAAGGACAGCACGAGCACAGGCCGACATAGTGCAATATAGATGCGCAGTGGGTCAAGTGCACGCGCTTTAGTGGGCGGCATACCTCAGTGGGAGTCATGGCACCAGGAATGAAGACCATGGGGCCTGCTGCATGTGATGCCACTAGATCCTGCCAGGCGTGGTGGGGTGTGGGCCATGCACAACGCACATAGCATGAGATGTGCACATGGGATGAGACACGCAAACACAAGGGATAAGAATCTGAGATGGGCACACCACATCAATGGCATGCGCACACATCACCAAGACATGTCATGAGAACGTCACAGCATGATATGGGCATAGTGCACGTACGGCATCAGTGGCGGGGCTCATGAGGAAGCGAGCTCCCGCACGATGAGCTGCCATGGCGTCATGCCGGGAGAGCACCGTGCCCGCCTGTGGTAGTGAGGGGGACATGGTGGGTGGCGTGATGGGCACAGGGGGAAGATTGTTGTGGGGACATGCAGCATGGTGGAGCCTGGGGGACGTACGCAGGAGAGGTGATGGTGGCAGTGCGGAGCGGAGGACTATGCTGCTCTGTGTGTGGAAAAATCACTCACTCACTCACTCACTCACTCACCCCTATGGTGGCATGTGGAAACTCCGTGACTAGCGATGCAATGACCTGCAGGGAGAAGGAAGGGGCGTGGGAAGGAGAGGATGAGAGTGTTGAATGCATGCAGGGGGAGGATGTGTGTGGGATATACAGAGAGGAAGCGAGATAATAGAACCAGGTAAAACCATTACCATCATACCATGCCGACCCTATCACACGCACCACACCACACCACACCACACCACACCACACCACACCACACCACACAGCATAGCACAGCACAGCACAGCACATGCGCACCTGGAAGGCGCCAGGGGTGGTGCATGTGACCTCCAGCTGCCGGGGTGGAAGGGGGGATGGTGGGAGATGGGGTGTGGGGAGGGCGGCTGAATGGGGGGGCGGAACGACAATGGGGCGCGTGTTGGGTGGGGGATGTTTTGACGGTTCAATGCGAGCAATGTATGATGTGGGAAGGACACTTGCATGGTGTGGGTGGAAAGGCGGGGACTCACCACTTGGATCCCCGCAGAAAGCGCAGCACGAGCAGCAGAGAGCGCCACGTCAGCACTGCGTCAGCAGGATGAGGGGACGGGATGAGGGGGGGAGAAGGGAACGCACGGATCATGTGGTTGGCTGCAAAGGGGGAGTGCTTGCGGGCCATGGCCCCTTGCGCACCACATGTGGTTGGCCCCTTGCTTGCGATTCAACTCATGGTGCGCTGCTGTGTCGCTGACCCTCTCTCTCTGCTGCGCTCAGCACGCCTCTCCCCGCGCTCTTCTTCCGCTTCTTCCCCTCGTCCCCTTTCACTTCTCACCCGCGGTGCCTCCCATCCCCATCCAACCCCGGACCCTCTGCCCCGCTTCCTCTCTCTTCCCCCCGAGGCGCGCACCTGTCAGCGCGCACGCACGCCACGATACCCGACGCCGCGATTGCCGCAACTGTCTGCTGCCGCCTATCAGCATCTGCCACGTGGCTCGTCGCGCCGTCGCTCCGCACGGCCGCCTCAGTGTCGTCAGCAGTTGGTGGCGGCTGGATGCCAGTGGACCGGCCGTTTACCACGTGGCACCGGACGGACGCGTGCTGCTGACAGCGCGCTGACGTGGCATTGCACGAGGACGTGGCTCCATTGGTGGCGCTGGTGCTATTCGTACCCGCGGAGATCGTGCGCAGCGGAAAGGGGATGCGCGTAGAGCGGCCTAGCGGGGAGGAGCATAGCGGGGAGGCACATGGCGGGGATGAAAACCGCGCGATTCGCGCGTAGGAGGCGGAGAATGTGGCGGTTTCCATTGGATCGCGCGGGCGAGGTGACGAGGGGGAGGCGCGAAGGCGCAGCGCGGAGAGACTGACGAGTTGGCTGCGTGGTTGGGGGAAACAGAAACCTACAGCGGGTCACGGGTGACCGTACGACAGACTCGCGATGACGCGACGAGCAGCAGAAACGGCGGCAGAGAGGGGGAGATGCGAAGTGCGTTTGCGCGATGAGGTGCAAGTGGGAATCCTGACAGGGCGGGATGAGGGAGATCAGATATTTTTCGTAGGCGGGTGGGAGATATTTCACCGAACCCGAACTTGGCGGGAAGAAAGGAAGTGATGGTTTCACTAACTGGAATGGGTGGCAGCAGCATATGAAGAAACTACATTATGAATGAGGAGCTGTATCGTATAGAGTAATGGCTGACCGTATAGCAGGAATAACGTGCACAGCATATTACAGCTTGTAACAGCGCACAAGACGATTCGGTCATTTCGCACTTGTCGCAATGCGTCACCCAGACAGAGCTCTCATCGCGAACCCCACCAACCAGTCACCTCGCGAATGTCGTCACGTTACCAATTGAGTCGTCGCATCGTTGACCCCCCCGCGTTCTAGAAATTGCGGCCAGGAGGAGAGGAGCGCAAAGAAAGCCGCCCCCCTCCCAGCTAGAATACTTGTAGAGCGCTAGACGTCAGCTCACCTGTCCACTCACCTCCATTTCTGACCGCCCGACTCTGCACTGCACCTCTCCGTGCCTCTCGCAGCTTTGTCCTGTCGCACTGCTATCGCTAGCTGTTATCGCGAACTGCTGCCCACGTCATGACCGCCGCGCTCTCCTCCTCCCTCGCGCTCGTGCGCTCGCCTCACCTCCGCGCCGCCCTTTTCGTCCGTCCGAATCGCACCTCATTGCGATCATACCTTCAGAATAGTCCACTCGCGCCGCAGTCCGCGGCCCGTGAACGGTGTTGGAAGCAACCACGGCGCGCAATGGCGACAGCGGCGGCGGCGGCGGCGGGGGATGCGTCAGGCGGTCAGACGGCAGTAAGTGCCGGTCGGAATGGCGCCACGACCGCCGCCGCCGGTCCGGACGTGACGGAAACCGGCAAATCTGCCGGCCGCGAGCGGACGGTGCGGCTGACATCACGCGGGATCGTGTGGACAGACGACGAGGTGGAACGCGTGTTGACGGACGCGCGGAAACGCATCGGGCCGCGCCACGTGGACATGATGACGTGGCGGCGCGCGATCCACGCGTATCCTGAGCTGGCGTTCGAGGAGGAACGGACGGCTGAGATGGTGGCGGGATTGCTGGCGGAGTGGGGGTATGACGTGGACAGGAGCCTTGGGAGTACCGGCGTGGTGGGGACGCTGACCGTGGGGGAAGGGGGAAGCGCGGAGGGCGGAGAAGCGGAGGAGCTTCCGCCGGCCATCATGCTGAGGTGCGCTATAGCGAGGATGCAATGTAGTGTGGGCGGTGTGAAGGGTGAGGTGTGGGTGGCTGGTGGTAGGACGCAGTGAGTGGGCACGGGAGAGGGAACGCAATGCAGTTCATGGCATGCGCGCTTATGTGTCCTCATCCCTCCACACTCCACTTCCCTTCCTCCCCAATGCACGCTCCTACTGTCTCAATCCCCCTCCTCCGCCTCCCCTTCTCCACCAATGCTCTCTCCCCCTTCCTCACCTCAACTCCCCCTTCCTGTTGTGCGTGCGCGCAGGGCGGACATGGATGCGCTGCCGATGGAGGAGGGCAACGCGTTTGTGCCCCCCCCTTTCTCCTCCTCCGCCTCCCCTTTTCCCCCAATGCCCTCCCCTCCCTCCCTGTGCGTGCGTGCAGGGCGGACAGGATGCACTGCCCATGGAGGAGGGCAAAGCGTTTGAGCACCTCCCCCACCCCGCGCCCTCCCCCACCCTTCCTCGTCTTCCTCCGCTTCCCATACTTCCCTCCACTCCCATTGCTCTCTTTCTTCTTACTGCGCGCGCAGGGCGGACATGGATGCGCTCCCCATGGAGGAGGGCAACGCGTTTGAGCACCGCTCGCAGCGCAGCAGCACGATGCACGCATGCGGGCACGACGGTGAGATACCGGTCACCATGAGCCGTTCACTATGGGCCGGTCATCAGGAGCCGTTCACTATGGGCCAGTCACCATGAGCCGTTCACTATGGGCCGGTCACCATGAGCCGTTCACTATGGGCCGGTCACCATGGGCCGTTCAGTATAGGCCGGTCACCATGGGCCGTTCAGTATGGGCCGGTCACCATGGGCCGTTCAGTATGGGCCGGTCACCATGGGGCGTTCACTATGGGCCGGTCACCATGGGGCGTTCACTATGGGCCGGTCACCATGAGCCGTTCACTATGGGCCGGTCACGATGAGCCGCTCACCAAGGGCCGTTCACTATGGGCCGGTCATCATGGGCCGTTCACTATGGGCCGGTCACCATGGGCCGTTCAGTATGGGCCGGTCACCATGAGCCGTTCACTATGGGCCGGCCACCATGAGCCGTTCACTATGGGCTGGTCACCATGAGCCGTTCACTATGGGCCGGTCACCATGGGCCGTTCACTATGGGCCGGTCACCATGGGCCGTTCAGTATGGGCCGGTCACCATGAGCCGTTCACTATGGGCCGGTCACCATGGGCCGTTCACTATGGGCCGGTCACCATGAGCCGTTCAGTATGGGCCGGTCACCATGAGCCGTTCACTATGGGCCGGTCACCATGGGGCGTTCACTATGGGCCGGTCACCATGGGCCGTTCAATATGGGCCGGTCACCATGAGCCGTTCACTATGGGCCGTTCACCATGAGCCGTTCACTATGGGCCGGTCACCATGAGCCGTTCAGTATGGGCCAGTCACCATGGGCCGTTCACTATGGGCCGGTCACCATGGGCCGTTCACTATGGGCCAGTCACCATGGGCCGTTCACTATGGGCCGGTCACCATGGGCCGTTCACTATGGGCCGGTCACCATGAGCCGTTCACTATGGGCCCGTCACCATAGGCCGTTCACTATGGGCCGGTCACCATGAGCCGTTCACTATGGGCCGGTCACCATGAGCCGGTCACTATGGGCCGGTCACCATGAGCCGTTCACTATGGGCCGGTCACCCTGGGCCGTTCACTATGGGCCGGTCACCCTGAGCCGTTCACTATGGGCCGGTCACCCTGAGCCGTTCACTATGGGCCGGTCAGCATGAGCCGTTCACTATGGGCCGGTCAGCATGAGCCGTTCATTATGGGCCGGTCACCATGGGCCGTTCAGTATGGGCCGGTCACCATGGGCCGTGCTATGGTCACGATGCTATGGTCACGATGCTATTATCACGATGCTATGGTCACGATGCTATGGTCACGATGCTATGGTCACGATGCTCTGCTCACGATGCTCTGCTCACGATGCTATGGTCACGATGCTATGGTCACGATGCTATGGTCACGATGCTCTGCTCACGATGCTATGCTCACGATGCTCTGCTCACGATGCTATGGTCACGATGCTATGGTCACGATGCTATGGTCACGATGCTATGGTCACGATGCTATGGTCACGATGCTATGGTCACGATGCTATGGTCACGATGCTATGGTCACGATGCTCTGCTCACGATGCTCTGCTCACGATGCTCTGCTCACGATGCTCTGCTCACGATGCTCTGCTCACGATGCTATGGTCACGATGCTATGGTCACGATGCTATGGTCACGATGCTATGCTCACGATGCTATGCTCACGATGCTATGCTCACGATGCTATGGTTACGATGCTATGGTCACGATGCTATGGTCACGATGCTATGGTCACGATGCTATGGTCACGATGCTATGGTCACGATGCTATGGTCACGATGCTATGGTCACGATGCTATGGTCACGATGCTATGCTCACGATGCTATGCTCACGATGCTATGCTCACGATGCTATGCTCACGATGCTATGCTCACGATGCTATGGTCACGATGCTATGGTCACGATGCTATGGTCACGATGCTATGGTCACGATGCTATGGTCACGATGCTATGGTCACGATGCTCTGCTCACGATGCTATGGTCATGATGCTCTGCTCACGATGCTCTGCTCACGATGCTATGCTCACGATGCTATGCTCACGATGCTATGCTCACGATGCTATGGTCACGATGCTATGGTCACGATGCTATGGTCACGATGCTATGGTCACGATGCTATGGTCACGATGCTATGGTCACGATGCTATGGTCACGATGCTATGGTCACGATGCTATGGTCACGATGCTATGGTCACGATGCTATGGTCACGATGCTATGGTCACGATGCTATGGTCACGATGCTATGGTCACGATGCTATGGTCACGATGCTCACGATGCTATGCTCACGATGCTATGGTCACGATGCTATGGTCACGATGCTATGGTCACGATGCTATGGTCACGATGCTATGGTCACGATGCTATGGTCACGATGCTATGGTCACGATGCTATGGTCACGATGCTATGGTCACGATGCTCTGCTCACGATGCTATGCTCACGATGCTATGCTCACGATGCTATGGTCACGATGCTATGGTCACGATGCTATGGTCACGATGCTATGGTCACGATGCTATGGTCACGATGCTCACGATGCTATGCTCACGATGCTATGGTCACGATGCTATGGTCACGATGCTATGGTCACGATGCGATGATCACGATGCTATGGTCACGATGCTATGGTCACGATGCTCTGCTCACGATGCTATGGTCACGATGCTATGGTCACGATGCTCTGCTCACGATGCTATGCTCACGATGCTATGCTCACGATGCTATGCTCACGATGCTATGGTCACGATGCTATGGTCACGATGCTATGGTCACGATGCTATGGTCACGATGCTCTGCTCACGATGCTATGGTCATGATGCTCTGCTCACGATGCTCTGCTCACGATGCTATGCTCACGATGCTATGCTCACGATGCTATGCTCACGATGCTATGGTCACGATGCTATGGTCACGATGCTATGGTCACGATGCTATGGTCACGATGCTATGGTCACGATGCTATGGTCACGATGCTATGGTCACGATGCTATGGTCACGATGCTATGGTCACGATGCTATGGTCACGATGCTATGGTCACGATGCTATGGTCACGATGCTATGGTCACGATGCTATGGTCACGATGCTATGGTCACGATGCTCACGATGCTATGCTCACGATGCTATGGTCACGATGCTATGGTCACGATGCTATGGTCACGATGCTATGGTCACGATGCTATGGTCACGATGCTATGGTCACGATGCTATGGTCACGATGCTATGGTCACGATGCTATGGTCACGATGCTCTGCTCACGATGCTATGCTCACGATGCTATGCTCACGATGCTATGGTCACGATGCTATGGTCACGATGCTATGGTCACGATGCTATGGTCACGATGCTATGGTCACGATGCTCACGATGCTATGCTCACGATGCTATGGTCACGATGCTATGGTCACGATGCTATGGTCACGATGCGATGATCACGATGCTATGGTCACGATGCTATGGTCACGATGCTCTGCTCACGATGCTATGGTCACGATGCTATGGTCACGATGCTCTGCTCACGATGCTATGCTCACGATGCTATGGTCAAGATGCTATGGTCACGATGCTATGGTCACGATGCTATGGTCACGATGCTCTGCTCACGATGCTCTGGTCACGATGCTCTGGTCACGATGCTATGGTCACGATGCTATGGTCACGATGCTATGGTCACGATGCTATGATGCTCGGGTCAAGCCAAATGCCCACTCCCACTAACAAACCCTTGACCGTCCTTCCCCCTCCAGGCTACACGGCCATGCTTCTAGGAGCAGCGCGCCACCTGGCAGAGCACCGGTCCTTCAGAGGGCGAATCCATGTGGTGTTCCAACCCGCTGAAGAGGGCACTCCCACCGCCAAATCTTGTTCGCCCCTGCTGCTCCTCCCCCCCTTCCATCCCCCCAGGCCACACAGCAATGCTGCTGACTCGCTCTTTCCCTTCTCCCCTCTCTCATCCCCCATCCCCCACCCCTTCCCCTCCAGGCCACACGGCCATGCTGCTGGGAGCAGCGCGCTATCTAGCAGAGCACCGCCCTTTCCATGGTAAAGTCCACGTGGTGTTCCAACCCGCAGAGGAGGGCACGCCCACACAACTGCCAGTTCTTGTCTGTTCCTTGCTACCCCTCCAACCCCATACAGGCCACACGGCCATGCTGCTGGGAGCAGCTAGATATTTAGCCGAGCATCGCCCTTTCCATGGTAAAATCCACGTGGTGTTCCAACCCGCAGAGGAGGGCACGCCCACTCAGAACCAATACGGGAGGGAGGGCGGGGGAGCACTGGCGATGCTGGAGGATGGGCTGCTGGAGAAATACCCCGTGCGGGCTGCCTTTGGCATGCACAACTGGTAAGCACATCTGTTAATCCCAATTGTTAACGGCAGAGGAAGGCCTGCCCACTGCCAACCCGTACGGGCGGGGGTGCGCTCGCAATGCTGGAAGATGGGCTGTTGGAGAAGTACCCCGTGCGAGCTGCATTCGGCATGCATAACTGGTATGGGCGTAGGCACTGCTGTTACTGGATGGTAATGACATGCACACCCACACACAACCCGTATGGGCGGGAGTGCGGAGGGGCACTGGCAATTCTGGAGGATGAGCTGCTGGAGAGATACCCCGTGTGGGCCGCCTTCGGCATGCACAACTGGTAATGGGCATGGGCACTGCTGGTCACGGCACGGGTGGTGATGGCAGCCATGCTGCATCAAACGCTCACCCTTCCCAATCCCTTGCTATCTCTCAATCTCTCCCGTGCCCAGGCCTACCAGTGGGACGATTTGCCATTCACTCAGGCCCTGTGATGGCGGGGGTGGATAACTTTCACATCACGGGGCTGCCATGCCGCACCCGCCAGAGCACCGTCCTCCCACTCATCCCAGCCCCTTTCCACTCTCCCTTACATGCCAGGGCTGCCAGTGGGGCGGTTCGCAATCCACTCGGGCGCGGTGATGGCGGGGGTAGACTACTTTCACATCACGGTGGGGTGTACGAGCTGCCATGCTGCCATGCCACACCTTGCAGAGCAACGGCAACTAACCCATCCCAACCCCTTTCCATCCCCTGCTCCTGCCCTTGCAGGCCAGGGTTACCAGTGGGGCGGTTCGCAATCCATTCAGGCCCGGTGATGGCAGGAGTAGACAACTTCCACATCACCGTGGGGGCAAGGGCTGCCACGCTGCTACTTGCATACACAGCTGCCAACCTCCCCTCACCTCCCTGGCCACTTCTCCGTCCCTCTCCTCTCCAGGCCAGGGTTACCAGTGGGGCGGTTCGCTATTCATTCTGGTCCAGTAATGGCAGGAGTGGACAACTTCCACATCACTGTGGAGGGCACGGGCTGCCATGCTGCCATGCCACACCTTGCAGAGCAACGGAAGCTCACCCATCCTAACCCCTTTCCATCTCCTGCTCCTGCCCTTTCAGGCCAGGGCTACCAGTGGGGCGGTTTGCCATTCATTCAGGCCCGGTGATGGCAGGGGTGGATAACTTCCACATCACGGTGGAGGGCACGGGCTGCCATGCTGCCATGCTACTATGCTGCTAGCTGCACCCAACCTCCCAACCTCCCAACTTCCCACCATGCAGGCCAGGGTTACCAGTGGGGCGGTTCGCTATTCATTCAGGCCCAGTGATGGCAGGGGTGGATAACTTCCACATCACGGTGGAGGGCACGGGCTGCCATGCTGCCATGCCACACCTGGCAGGGGGCAGTGACCCCGTGCTCGCTGCTGCTGCTCTGGTTACCAACCTGCAGGTGCGCGTGTGGGTGTGTGGGTGTGTGGGTGTGTGGGTGTGTGGGTGTGTGGGTGTGTGGGTGTGCATGTGTGTGTACTGAGGGCGGCATCTCTAAGGTGGATGGCCTAAGTAGTCACCTGGGGGGGGGCAGTAACCCCATGCTCGCTGCTGCTAGCCTCGTCACCAACCTGCAGGTGCGTGTACGAGTGTGTGCGGAAGGGGTATAGAAAATGCCGTGGTGCACGTCACCAACCTGCAGGTGCGTGAACGAGGCGTGTGTGTGCGGTGGGCTGATGGCAAGATGGAACAACTCTCTTGATTCCCTCCTCATCTTCCCCACTCTCTCCCACACGCCATGCCACGCGTTGGTGAGCAGGGTGGTGGATCCACATGACAGTGCGGTGGTGAGCGTGACTCGGGGGCATACCTCAGAAAAACAAGCTCGTCCCTCCCCTTCCCCGTCCCTGCCACCTTTCCATGGCAGGCGTTGGTGAGCAGGGTGGTGGATCCACATGACAGCGCTGTTGTGAGCGTCACGCAGATACATGCAGGGGACGCCTTCAACGTCATCCCACCCTCCGTCAGTGCCCACCCCTCACCCACTATCACGCCACTGCCATTGCTCATGCTCATGCTCTTGTGCAGTGCGTGCTCTTGCTCCTCAGGAGCACCTCAGTGCATGCCACCTGCACGCATCGTCCACACCCACTCACCCGCTCTTGCTCCTACACTGGCATCTCTAGGCCCTAGCCGTTTCTGACCACCACTGAGAGCTTTACCAAAGGACAAGCTTAGAGCCGCTCTTGTTCGGTTATCTCTCTCTCCCTCCGCTCAACTCTTTCCTTCCCTCCGCTCTGCTCCCTGCTTCTTCCCTCCAACCTGTGCCATGCGGCTGCATGGCAGGCGGAGGTGAAGGGCTTGCTGAGGACGTACCGGGGGGAGACAAGGGAGGCGATGATGCGCGGGATAGAGCGCATGTATTTCCGTCCCCTCACCTACTCTACCCTCCTCTCCCCTCCCCTTCCCTCCTCCCATGGCGGCATGGCAGGCGGAGGTGAAGGGCACGCTGAGGACGTACCGGGGGGAGACAAGGGAGGCGATGATGCGCGGGATAGAGCGCATGGCACATGGGGTCACTGCTGCTCATGGTGAGCGGGGGGGAGAGAGGAGATGGGGGAGGGGATGGTAGAGAGGAGTGAGATGAAATGGGGAAGACGAGGGAGGCGACGATGCGCGGGATAGAGCGCATGGCTCATGGCGTCACTGCTGCTCATGGTGAGAGGGTGGGCAAGGAGGGGGGCGATGAGTCGAGGAAGAGGACGAGGGAGGGCGATGATGTGAGGGATAGAGTGCATGGCACATGGCACATGGCACATGGCACATGGGGTCACAGCTGCTCATGGTGAGAGGGTGGGAGAGGAGCGAGCAGAGAAGTGAGGGAGGAGAGAACAAAGAGGGGTGGAGGGAGTGCCTTCATTCATGCGACTGTGGGAGCATGTGTCATTTTTCACGCCTCACACTGCTCCTCCTCCCCTCCTTTCCCTCCAGGCTGCACGGCCACAGTGCGGTTCTGTGATCACTTCCCCGCCACCGTCAACACGCCCAGGGAGGCCCAGGAGGCGGCAGCAGCAGCACAGGCCCTCACCTGTTCCTCGTTCACACTCACTCGGTACCTTGCTTTCATTCCCTTTCCATCCTCCCCCAGGCTGCACAGCCACGGTGCGGTTCTGTGATCACTTCCCCGCCGCCGTCAACACGCCCACGGAGGCCCAGGAGGCGGCAGGAACAGCATCAGCACTCCCCCAACACCGTCAACGCGTGCCCTGCCCATACTTCCTTCCCTCCCATCCTTTTCTTTCAGGCTGCACAGCCACAGTACGGTTCTGTGATCACTTCCCCGCCACCATCAACACGCCCAGGGAGGCACAGGAGGCGGCAGCCGCAGCACGTGCAGTGGTGGGAACAGCTTTAGTGGACCTGGACTCGCGCGCGCCCTCCATGGACGCTGAGGACTTTGGATACATCCTGGAGAGAGTGCCGGGTGAGAGGGGTTTGGGGGGGTTGAGAGCGGTGGCAAGTCCGTTAGATGCGGCACTGGTGGACCTGGACTCGCGCGCGCCCTCCATGGGGGCTGAGGACTTGTAGATACATCCTGGAGAGAGTGCCCGGTGAGGAGATGGGGGATGGGGTAAAGGTTGGGGGAAAGGTGGGAGCGCTGACTTATGGCAGGCTTGTGGGATGCCTCGCTGGTGGACCTGTACTCGCGCGCTCCCTCCATGGGCGGGGAGACTTTGGATACATCCTGGAGTCCTTTGGATACATCCTGGTGAGGAGAGGTTGGGGAAGAGGTGAGTGGGTAGGTGAAGGGGTAGGTGAGGCGATTTATCTTGACAGAATCTTCTCTTCTGGCTACTCTTGTCCTGGTTTTCTGGTGTCACCCCTTGTGCAATGTGCACTATCCGAGTGTGCTCTCTCTCTGCCCTGTATGTGTGCATGCGTGCTTTTGATGTATACGTGCCCTGCCAGGCTGTTACCTGTGGATTGGCAATGGCCTGACAGAAGGAGGCTGCATGCTCCACAACCCCTTGTGAGTGCGAATGGATGGGGCCTTGTGGTGGGAAAATGGATGCGTGACTTGCTGGGTGGGGGCAATGCATGCTTGTAAAGGCCACACTGCGTGAGTGCTTCGTTATATTCTTGAGCACGCCTTTCCTGTTGCCTCCAGCGTTATGCAAGTCCTTGCAATTCCTGTGGCACTATTCCTGTTGCCTTCTTGCTATTCCTGCGTTTGCAGGTACGATTTCAATGACGACATTCTTGCACTCGGGGCGAGCTACTGGGTACAGCTGGTTGTCAACGCCTTGCCACCCAGAAAATGATTACCGTGTTTGTGTCAACATATTGGAAGTAGAGTGTTATCGTTATTATAGCTGTGAAGGTTAGAGTGCTTGAATGTTCCCGCTTCTTCAGAGGGTTCACGATTAGTTTGGGGCACTCAGGAACGCGTACATCATGACCCTAGGATATCAATGTACCGATCTTAACCCAACAACAATACCGGCTGCTGGGTGTGCGAGTCAGCCAGCATAACGTTTGCGCCAACCAGGATTCTCGTGATTCGTTGCCTCGTCACCCGAGCTTCCCACGTTCGCGGGCCGCCATGGCCTCTCAGTTAGCCTGGCGGGCGGCTGCCACGTCGGCGCGTCGCGGCTTGAGAGAAGGCCAGCGTGTCGTGGCTTTGATGACGTCATCTTCTCCTGTCCCTGGTGTGAACGACGTCACCTCAGGATCTCCGCGTACCTCGAGAGTATCTGGACCGTTCGATCACATCGATCTGTCCCCATTACAAACAGTCGATCAAACCCATCAATTCCCTCCGCCATCAGTCATGCTGACGTCATCCGTTCCGCTCCGCCATCCCCTTACCGGTTCCATCTCCGCGCGCATCCCTTGCGCCGATGCGATCGCTGGGGGCTTCAATGCGCTCAGATCGCTGCCACGTGGCACTGGTGAGGGCAATGATTGGTTACCGAGAACCCCCCTCCCCACCCCGAGCCCCTTCCCCGCTCTCTGCCCCTCCCCGCTCTCTGCCCCTCCCCGCTCTAATCCCCCTCCCCCCTCTCAGTTCACTGCGCACAATGTCGCACCCGTTCGTCTCCGCTTCTCTTCGCGCCTCACCTCTCATTCAATCGTGCCTCTCCCTCTCCGCCTCCCCCCTCTCCCCCGTTGCAGCGCCATTCCACTCCGCCGCGCGCCCAGTCGCAACAACAGCCAGCGCGGATCAGAATGCGGGCGGCGGTGGCGGGGGGACGGGGGGAGGCGGAGCGGAGGGGGGGGCAGAGGGGAGGGGCGGAAGGAGGAGGACGGGGAATGGCGGCAGTGGATCCAGCAGGCACTCTTTAGTGAGTGCTACTGACACGTGGCAGTGTCACACGCTAGGCTCCAATGAGTGCAGCTTCTCACTCCCAGCTCTATTTGCCAGGTCACCATTGCCACGCACACTTGGCACGCACTCTATTGAACTGCTCCGTTGCTGGACTCTCGTCCTGCCACGTGGCACTCACCAGGGCATGTGGCTTACACGTGTGTTGTTACTGTGTTGCGTGTGTGCTGCACGTGTGCTGTGTGTGTGTGTGCGTGGTCGCCTGGCAGGGGACGGCGAGGGGGGAGGCAAGGGGCGTGAGCAGCAGGCACGCGCAGCAGTAGGTGGGTGGTCTATCGCACATCACCGCCCCTCTGGTTGTGTCGTCTTCGCTTTGCCCATGCGCTCTTTTCCTTGCCTCCGCTCCTCTTCCCCCTTCCCCACTTCCCTCCCCATTTTCCTTCCCCTCCCTCTCTCTCTCTTCTGCCTACATCGCACCCCCCACACCTTTCAGTGCATGTCTCCCTGTCTTCCACCCTGTCCCCCTGCCTGCGTGCAGCCAAGCTAAGCAGGCAATCAGCAGCGGCCCAGTCCCCCTCCGCCTCCCCTTCCCCCCACCGCTTCTCCCCTCGCTCCTCCGCCCCTCCTTCCTTTTCCTCGTCCTCCTCTTCCCTATCTTCCCAAGATTTCGATGAGTTAGAGGCGTTGATAGGGCCTGAGGACGAGGAAGAGGAGAGGAGGGAAGGGGGGAGAGGAGGGGGAGAGAGCAGGGGAGCGAGGAGCGTGGGAGGGATCGAAGGGAGAGGAGGGGTAGCGGAGGAAGGGGAAGGGGGCTATGGAAGAGGGGGGCGCGCATTGGGGTACGGGGGCCGGATTGGAGGGGGGAGGAGCTGGGGAGAGGGGGAGGAGTGGGGAGGACGGGCAGGAGGAAGCGGGGAAGGGGCAAGGGGGAGGTACGGGGGAGTGGGGGAAGCGGGGGGCGCAGCCGGAGGGGTGGGCAGCTGGGGGGCCGGGGGCGGGGGGATGGGTGGGGGGATGGGCGGGGGGGCGTGGCAGGGGGTGGCGGAGGTGGAGGCGGAGATGGTGCTGTCAGACCGAGCAATGAGGGCGGTGAGAGAGGTGGACCTGGAGGAGGGCGAGGAGAGCTTTCAGTTCCGCCCCGACCGCATCTACTACCCCGGACAGACCTACTCTGCTGAGGTGAGCAGAGCAAGGCAATGAACACTAGGAGGTGGGCTATCAGACAGGGCAATGAGGGCGGTGAGAGAGGTGGACCTGGAGGAGGGGGAAGAAACGTTCCAATTCCGCCCTGACCGCATCTACTATCCTGGGCAGACCTACTCCGCTGAGGTGAGCGCAGTTGTCGAGGTTCGGCTGTTGTATCTGTTGTTGCCTCACAACGGAGACCTTCTAGTTCCGCCCTGACCGCATCTACTACCCTGGGCAGACCTACTCCGCTGAGGTGAGAAGAGTGCAGCACAGTATTGTGCGCTCAGGTGTACTGTGTTAAAGTAAGTCCCAGTGCAGGTCGAGGCTCTGGGGTGCAAGCAGGAACTGGACATCTCCCAAACTTGAAATGTGCCTTTATAATCTCCCTCTGCTGCCGCTCTGTGTGCTGCATGGCAGGAGCTGGACATATCCCAGCCGCTCCCAGACGGCACGGGGGACTTGCGACGCAAGCTGCCTGTCCCCACCACCAAGGAGACTCTGCGCGCTGCTGACTTCCGGGTGAGATGGGGGGAGGGGGACGATGGGGGCATATGGGGGTAGTGGAGGGATGAGGGGCACAAAAGAGGGCTGTGGGTGAGAGCGCAAGCTGCCCACCCCCACCACCAAGGAGACCCTGCGCGCTGCTGACTTCCGCGTGAGAGTGTGGGGAGGGGGGTGATGGGGGCACAGGTGGGAGAGTCTGTGGGGGCAGTGGGTGAGGGGCACAAAGAGGGACCTGGGTGGGAACAAAAGCTGCCCACCCCCACCACCAAGGAGACTCTGCGCGCTGCTGACTTCCGGGTGAATTTAAGGGAGGGAGGGGAGTGGGTGATGGGGGCACAGAAGGCGTGTGGTTGAGGGGCACAGGGAAGACGAGGGGAGGAGGGCACAGAGGAGGAGGGGGCTAGAGGAGCCTGGGTGGGGGGAGTGGGAAAAAGGTGGGACAGAGAACTGGGAGCGAACATGGATGGAAGGAGACGATGTTAGTTTGAGCAGCAGGGGCAATGGGGTTGGGTACTTGTTCTTTCTTGCCTTCTTAGGGGGCTTCCAGACAGTTATCGTTTGCCTTTACAATCTCTGCGACTCTGCTTCCTCCCTTTCAGAACGTGCGCTTCCTGTCGCAATTCATCTCTGAAACGGGCAAGATCAAACCCAGAAACAAGGTGAGCTCACACTCTCATTTCTCTTGTGAGTTCAAGTGTGCACTGACATATGTGCTGCCTACTGGTCCATTTCCTTCATACGATCACACCTGCATGTGCTTCACGCCCTCAACGTCTCATGCCGTGCCTCCATCCTTGACTCTCCCGGGACCTCATGCCGTACCAACCCTGCAGACTCGGCTGTCTGCCAAGGCGCAGCGTCGCGTGGCTCGGGAGATCCGAACCGCACGAGTCTTTGGGCTCATGCCATTCACGCAGGCGGGCCGGCCGCCATTTAGGTTCGGCAAGGGCCCGAACCTGGAATCAGGAGAGCCGGAGGAGGAGCTTGAACTGGCAGCGGCAGTTGATGATGTGAAGGAGCTCAAGGCCATGGCTGGGAGGTAGCTGGCTTTCTCAGGGCTAGTTCGAGGCTAGAGCATCAAATATGCATGTACACCAGCACATTGGCTTGTGGGTGTGATTTACCGTAGTACTTGATTGGTTCTTCGTATCAACTTTCATTTTACCTAAGAAAATGCATCAACAGCACTTAGCCTTTTCATCTAGCTAACAGAGATGCCACCAAGTGCTTCCTACAATTGACTACAGAGTGGACAATACATCGCTTCCCTAACAACTACCCAGCTGACTGTCCTACACTTCACATCCTTGTTCATGCCCAATGCCCATCCCAGCAACATCAGTATCTGGGGTTGACACCTGAGTGTTGCCCATTGAGCCTCATCTTGGACATCTCATACGCCGCTGCATCTGCTGCACTGCTCCCATATCCCCCCCCATCGCCCGCCCCCCGTTGCACCACGTTGGGAGGCAGCCCACTCAACGGCAGATGCTGCTGCTCCTCTGCCACCGGCATCGCAGGCATCGCAGGCACCGCCCTGGACGGCCACCTCATGCCTCCTGTAGCACCTGCGGCTGCTTCCGGCACAGAGGCAGTAGCGCCTGCGCCTGCCTCCAGCACAGAGGCGTCGAAGGTGGCGAAGGTGCCGCCACGGGCTACGTGCTCTCGCACGCGGAGGATGCCCATCTGGAGGTACTCCCTCATTGTCTCACTGATGCTGGACAGCCGCGCAAACACGTCAATCTGTTATGTGGGTGGGCACACAAAAAGGAACGCATGAGAGGGGGAGTGCACGCGGAGAATGCCCATTTGGAGGTACTCCCTCATGGTCTCGCTGATGCTGGACAGCCGTGCAAACACGTCAATCTGTATGGGGGAGGGGGCATGATGGGGAGTGCATGAGAGGGGGAGTGCATGAGCTGGCGCGAGGAAGTGGGAAGGCCATGAGTTGATTGGACCATTGAGCAGGGAGGCAAATGCAGCGAGGGCGCTCAAGAATGGCGAGGGACAGCGATCCATCAGCAAGGACTTCAGCATACCGTGTGTGACTGACTGTATGTAGCAGTGGGCTTACCCCAGGGTGTGACTGCATGTAGTAGTGAAGCTCGAAAAGGCTTACTGCTCCTTGCTTGCGGTCCACTATCTTGCGCACTATGCTCTGCAACTCGTCCTGCTCACATGCAGGGGAGACAGGCAGAGAGTAAGAGCGGCAGGGGTTGAGCATGATTCCTTCAGAAACAGAAACAGGACTCAGAATGACCGGCACACAGGGAGTGGTCACACTGGGTACAGGTCAGTAACTGGCATGCCTTTAGGCGACAACACCAGGCGACGGGCTCACCTGGTCAGGCAGCGAGGAGTCATCAGGCACTGCAGCATCAGCAGCAGCAGCAGCGGAGGAGCGTTCGAGCACCTGCTGCAGCACCAGGTCCACCTGCTGCAGGATGAAGGGCTGTGGCGTCTCGTCGATGGGGATGAGCGACAGATGCCCCTTGATGGCCGGGCCCTTAGCTGCCACGGCCTCTGCTAGGATCTTGCGGAATATGGATAGTGTGCGCTCATCCGTGGTCACTCTGGGGGGGGGGAGAGAAAAAGGGGGAAAAGGAGGTACAGCAGTAGAGAAGAGCGTTACCAGGGGTGTGAATGGGGTGTGGGCAGGCGGCGAGAGGGCATTGCAAGGCAAGCAGGAAAAGGGCGTTTAGCAATGTGAATTGATAGCATATTGATCAGAAAGAAGAGCACCAAGCATGTGCCACATGCGACTGAGGTGTGGCCTGTGGCATCATGCTCACAGGCGTTGCTCACCTCCTGCGGAGCTCAGCATGGGAGAAGTCGCTGAAGTACTGGTGGATGCCAAACAGCAGGCGGTCAAAGTCCATGTCCGCCACGTACCCACTGAAGTTCTGCACCCACAGAGCAAGGGAAGCATAGGTGGAACGTACGGAGGTATTCATGATAACGTTTGGGCAATTGTCCAACATGAACTAATACATTCCTTGGCTGATGGCGATGGTGATGGAGGCGAAATAGCAATGATGGAAGGAGGTGAGGCCGTCAGTGAAGGAAAACAGCAGGCAGCGAGGCACCCTGTCTGACCTTGCACATGCGCAGCAGGCACTTGACAACGAGTGCAGCGAGCGGCGTGCCATCCGGCCCCTTCACATCAGCAGCGGTGGAGCCCTTGATGGTGTAGGTGGGGCGCAGGATGGTCATGAAGGAGAGGAAGAGCGGCGTGGAGGGCGCGGTGTCGAGGATCTTGAGCAGCAGGATGTTCACGGCGCGGCACAGGTCGGCCGTTGAGTCGTCGGGGTTGCGCTGCTTGACGCGCTCGTGCAGCATGAAGATGGTCATCTCCTCCAGCAGCAGTCGCAGGTCGTCATCGGGGATTTGCATGCTCAGTGACTTGGTCTCGAATAGCTGTGCAAAGGTGAGGATGGGGGGAACATAGCATTGAATGGGTTGCGCTGCTTGACGCGCTCGTGCAGCATGAATATGGTCATTTGCTCCAGTAGCAAGCTCAAGTCATCATCTGGTATCTGCATGCTGAGTGATTTGGTCTCAAATAGCTGTACGAAAGGAGGAGTGGTGGGGAGAGGTGGCAGTGAATGGAGAGGGGGGTGAGTAGGCCTTGGGGATGGGCAAGGTAGAAAGGCACATTGCACAAAGCTGCAGGGCTGCTTCCCTCAATGCGGAATTGCATGGGCAAGCAGGGTGGGGCTGGGTAGGCAGTGTGCGGCAAGGTACGGCAGAGTGGGGCAGGGTGGGGCAGGGTGGGGCAGGGTGGGGCAGGTTGGCAGGCGGGGGCAGGGCGTACCGTGAGCAGCGAGTTGAGGATGTATTTGTAGGTCTTGACCTGTGCGTCGGGAACTGAGCGCACGAAAAACTGCACAAACTGTGCAATGCAGGCGAGTGGGGCATAGAGGAATAGGGCACATGGAACAAGGCAGAAGGGAATGGGCAAGGGAGTGGGGCAGAGGGGAATGTGTCAAAGGGAGAAGGCCAGAAGATTCTTGAGTAACGCATCCATTCTCTGATGCTTTCAAAGGTTCCGACTTGTAAGCTCAACATGCATGTCAGGCAACAAGAACTGCACTCGATGACACCTACTACCACAGCAACCAGACACATCCATAACCGTCTCCTCGCCGTTGCCATACCTGAAATCGCAGCATCCGGATGTAGCGCGGCATGTGCTCGCGGAACACAGCCAGCACGCGGGGGTCCTCCTCGGTGATCCCGCGCCGCATCTCATGGAACAGGTACTTAAGCCCCTCCACCACCCTCCAGGTTTTCACCCCCCACCACCCTACAGCTTATGAGCCCCCCCCACCACCCTACAGGTTTATGAGCCCCATCCACCACCCTACAGGTTTATGACCCCCCTCCACCACCCTACAGGATTCTGAGCCCCCCACCACCCTTTCAGGCGCTGTACCTGGAAGCGCAGCATCCGGATGTAGCGCGGCATGTGCTCCCGGAACACAGCGAGCACGCGGGGATCCTCCTCCGTAATCCCCCGCCGCATCTCATGGAACAGGTACTTAAGCCCCTCCACCACCCTCTCGGGCGGCGCTTCACGGTCAATGAACAGAATGGCCTCAAAGAATGACTCCGGCCCTGGCTGTGTGGAGTGCGACGAGTGCGCATAGGCCTGGCTGTCGGTGGCGCGGTGGCGGGTCATGGCGGCCATGTGGCTTGGGGGCGTCACGATGGGCTCTGTTGCTCTGTGCGGCATGCCTGGGGGCATCCCTGGAACCATGCCTGCCCCGTTGCTGTATGCAGGTTGCTGGTAGTGCGTGGGCGCTGCTGCTAGTGGCTGGGCTGCTTCTGCCATGTGCATTCTCGTGGCCCTGGGAGCGAAGAATTGCATGTGCATGAAGGGAACGGAAAAATACAGGATGGAAATTCGCCGAATCATTTACTGCACCAGTGCACGAACGAGCGTGGCTGCATGGTCAGTGCAAAATGCGTGATACTGGAGAGAAGAGCAACGTCTATATTAGAAACGCTCTGGAGAAGAAGGCAGATGGGTGAGGTGAGGAAGGCTTACAAGGGCAGGGCTCCAATAGGCACAGGGGGTTCCATGCCTGCCGCCCCGCCTCCTGACATGCGCCTGCCCCTCTGCTGCCCCGGCGCCCCCTCCCTGCGCTTCTCCATCTCTCGCGCCTGTTCACACGTACACACAATGGTAATAGGGGAAAGCGCAACAGTGGGGGAGGTAGCAGTTGCATGAGGGGCACGCTGCGGTGTTCAAGTCATGGAAAAAGATGCAGGAAGAAGAATTCAAGTAAGACGGTGGAGCTCATCCAAAATAGACGCAGATGGAGTGGTGGAAGAGAGGAAGCAAGGGCCCTGGAGAAGAGGAAAGGGAAGCAAAGAGTGAGGGAAGGAGGGAGGAGGGCAGACAGGGGTACCTTCCACTTGAGCTTGTCTTCAATGAGCCCCCTCTGTGCGTCGGTGAGCTTCCCCAGCAGCCGCCAGATGTCATCCCCCAGCACCACGTACACCGACGCCAGCATGCTCAGCGCTGCCTTGCGCAGCTCCGTGTCTCTCTCCGTCGTCAGTGCCGCCACCGTCACCAGTGGCACCCGCGAGCTGCCCATTGTCTGCGCACATAGCGGCACATGAGGGAGCATGGGAGTATGGGAGTATGGGAAGGTTGGAGCATGGGAGCACGGGGGCATGGGAGCATGGGAGCATGGGAGCATGGGAGCATGGGAGCATGGGAGCATGGGAGCATGGGAGCAACGGAGCATCGGAGCATCGGAGCACGGGGGCATCGGAGCATGGGAGCATTGGAGCATAGGACAAAGATGAGAGGGACGGGCGGGAGCAAGCAGCTCACCTCAATGCCGTGTCTCTCCAGCATGGCCTCCATGTGCTCCACACATTCAATGCGAGTGCGGTTGTTTGCTCCTCCATCACCGCCTGGAACACCCTCATAGGCGGGAACAAGCAGCTCACCTCCATGCCGTGTCGCTCCAGCATGGCCTCCATGTGCTCCACGCACTCAATGCGAGTGCGGTTGTTCTTGGAGCGCAGCCCCTCCACCACCGCATGGAACACGCGTGTCGCCGGGAACACCAGCGGCTCACCTTAACAAGCAGCTCATCACCGCAACAAGCAGCTCACCTCAATGCCATGCCTCTCCAGCATGGCCTCCATGTGCTCCACGCATTCAATGCGAGTGCGGTTGTTCTTGGAGCGCAGCCCCTCCACCACCGCATGGAACACGCGTGTCGCCGGGAACACCAGCGGAAGCGACCGCATCAGCTCCCGCATCTTCTCCCGGATGTTGGCTATGTTGTGCCCCGACTGGTGGTGGCATGGGTGGTGGTGGTATGGTGGGGGGGGGGGGGAGAGAGAGGAGAATGAGTATAAGCAGCACACAGGGAAGCCAACAGACAGACTCAAACGCTGGAAATGCTTCTGCACGTTGAGAGGACGAGGACTGAGAGACTGAGAGCTGAGAGCTAAGCCCCTGGACGTGGGGCGCGTGCACGGTATGTGCGTACCTTCTCAACGAGGCAGGGCAGGAGGATGTTGGCCTCGTATTCAGTGAGGATGTAGCCCTCGATGGTGAGCACTTGCACGAGGTCTGTGAGGAAGTCAAGGGCGCGCAGCAGCGACGTGGTGTTGGCCTCTGCTATGCGCAGCACCACCCACCGCAGGAGCAGGTCCAACACCTCCATGAACTCGTGCGGCTGCTGCTCCATGGCCTGGCGGTGTGGGGGAGAGGGGGAGAGACGGGGAGAAAGGGAGCGAGGGGGAAGCATTGTGAGTCGACTTAAAGCCAAGAACCACCGCAGCAGCAGATCCAACACCTCCATGAACTCGTGTGGCTGCTGCACCATTGCCTGATTAGTGTGGGCACGGAGAAAAGAGGGAGAATGGGAGAGGGGGAAAGAGGGAGAGCACTGTGAGTTGAAACGAAAGGCACAAAGCGCAGCAGCAGGTCCAACACCTCCATGAACTCGTGTGGCTGCTGCTCCATGGCCTGGCAGTTTAAGGGAGAAGACACAGCACGAGATTGACGAAGATATAAAGAACTCCAGCATCGTACCACATGACAGCACTCTCTGCTGGACATTGGATGACATATCCTAGGTATGCAACACAGGGGTGTGTGGGCAAGGTGATGGCTACGAAAAGGAAAACCGAGAAAGTGTGGAAGAAAGGGAGGTGGACAGGGAGGGAAGGAGCGGGCGTGCCTTGTGAAAGATGTCAATGACTGCCACGTGTTGCTTGAAGTCCTTGCTGAACATGCGCTGCACCAGATCCTCCCGGAATATCTTCGCCACGTCCGCCTGCACCATGCACATGCACATACACGGGGAGGGGACGCCATGTGTGTCACAGACAGCGCCAGAAGCAGTGCGGTGCGACTCATGGGCAGGGCACGGGTTTTACTGATGAGAGCATGATGGTGAAGCTTGCATGCCACAGGAAAGAGTTACTCGCTCTCTCCTCGCTGCAACCACGGGCTCACCTCCAGCTCCTGCAGCTGCTCGGGCCGGGGGTCCTCGTACTTGACCTTGATACCCCGTGGCGACCGGTCCCTCTCCTCCTGCTCACACACAGACAGAGTCCGGAAACGCGAAATAACAGCCCTAAATCAGTTCCGCGTGTGCAGCTCGCATGCCAATCACCAATCGAGAAAAGACTCGTGCAATTCCCACACCAGAAGTGGCAGAACTGCGAGGCGCAGCGTACCTTGATGGACTCCTTGAGGTTGAAGAGTGGCTCGTTCTGCAACGCTGCCTCCTGCAGTGCCGCCTGCATCTGCCGCGCTCCCAGCTTCGATGCCGACGCTGGTGACTGCCCCACCTGCTTCACAGCCATGAAGAGGAGACGAGGGGCACAGCCAGAAAGGTGGAACGAGGGGCGCAGCCAAAAATAAACGACTGAATAGCTGAGCATGGGAAGCAGCAACAGTGAACACTGGCACGGGGAAGTCTGAGAAACAAAGAGGTGCCTCTGCCACCAGCATACAATGGCCGTACCGGTGGTGCGGGGAGGGAGGCTCGGCCCCCTGAACCAGGCGAGGGGGGCCTGGTGCCACGAGATGTGCCTTTGAGGGCCGGGCTGACAGTGGGCGGCTCCTCCTCGTCCTCCTCCATGCCCTCCGCACTCCCCGCTGACACGCGGTGCTTCTCCGATATCAGCAGCACCGGCGGCTGCGCCGCTGCTGGCAGCTCGTGCTTCGCTGCCTTGCTCACCTGAGACACAAGAAATTACGCCCCCACAGAAACACACGGCGCATGCACAGAAGAGAATAACGATCAGGAGAAGCATGTTCATGGATGAAATACCCAGGGAACAGGTGCACTCGTAGAAAGCTGCCTTCCATTTAAGAAGATGTAGTCAAGAAGTGGCGAGGTGTTGGCAACCAGGTGGCACTCACAGCGTCGCAGCCACAGGCCTTGACGAGCTCTGTGGTGAGGGCTTCAGCTGCCTTGCGGATCTCCTGTGACTTGTCCTGCAGGCCCGCTGCACACGCGCGCAGCAGCGTGATTGCACTGCTGGGTTCGCTCTTGGAGAGCACCTGCTGCCGCAGCATCCACTCGTACAGCTCCTTGCGCCCATCCGCTGCTATCTTGGCGTCCATCATCGCAGGCGCCACCACCGGGATCTGAGCACACAGCAAGCAGAGGATGAGGAGGAATCTTAAGCTCTTAAATACCACTTCTCTTACAGTGGCCAAGAGGGAGGGGAGGTCAAGCAAGTTTAAGCGAAGTAAGGTGACGGCGGCGGTGGTGGTGGTGGTGGTGGTGGTGGTGGCATACCATTTTGTCGGGGCCCAGTGCTCCCAGCCAGGAGTCGAGGGTCTTGACGACTGCCTCCCTGGTCTGGCGCTTGGGGTCACTTAGACACTTGAGCACGTCGGATATGATGCCCTGCCAGTCACACAAAACGGCAGAGAACGGAGCGAGACACGAATTGGGCACACCAGAAATACATCTCAGACAGAACTGGATCAGACAGTAAGAGGGCAGTCAAAGGACTGAGCTTTGGAAAGAGCGGAAGCAGGTGGAGCAGCAGGGTGGTGATGAGTGGAAAGCATTGGGGACGGGTGACTTACCCGGCTGTGCTTGTCCACTGGAGCGCCCATGGCGTCTGCGAGGTTGGCGATGGTGTTCATGGCGAGGATGATGAGGTTCTTGTTGCTGTCTGATAGCCGCGCCCTTAGCGCCCCAAACACCTCAACTGCACCCCGCCCAACACAGCACGGGCAGGCAATGGTGGCACGAATTGACGATAGTAGGTGGACGTGCTTGAGTGGACATGCGCAGGAATGATGGTATGAGACGCCTTGAGACGTTGTGCTGGCTGCAAAAGGTGGGGGCATGGTCGTGGGTGGCTGCACTCACATGTGCCGTCGGGCAGGATGCGGCGATTGGCCTCCTCAATAATGCCATTGACTGCTTCCATGGACTCCTGCCGCACCTGATGGCACACAGATGGGAAGACACATACCATTGCGGATGCAAAAGTCAGACACATTGCTCAAGTGGACCTACTGTGAGACCACACCGCAGCCAAGCAGCAGTCAGAACCAATTCTCACACTTCCGGGCCTCCGCGGCCTCATCTTTGTGTCAGGTGAGGGCATCACTCCACACCAAGGGGTTCCTGCACCAGCACACTGACCTTCCAGTTAAAGCTGCACGCTCACCTTCCAGTTGGAGTTGCCCAGGTTGGCGATGAGGGTGGCAGTCAGCTTGGCACTGATGTCCTCTCGCGGCAGCCCTGCCCCTCCACCTCCGCCCCCTGCTACCTCTCCCTCTGCTGGTGCTACCTCGCCGCCTGCCCCGCTTGATGGGCGCTTCACTGTTCTCGTTGGTGCTGCTGATGGCTGTGAGAGGCAGGCAATGCAGTGCAATGACAGCACGAGGAACAAGGTTAGGATATCACAACGAACTGGCGAAGGTGGGCGAGGGAAGGGGGCAGGGGGGAATGAGGAGGAAGGGGAAAACGGGATGAAGAAGCATTTGATGCATAAGGTGCTGATTTGGCAAGAACAGGTTAGAGAAGAGTTTGGGGCACCAGAGGGTAGCCAAACTCTGTTTCCACGAGGGAAGCTAAGGGCGGAGGCTGTACATCGTGGGGGTTCTTCTCAAACTCTGTTTCCACTGACGTCATGAGAGCGGGCTTGAGATCCGACAAGAAGCCCTTCAGATCTGCAGCGGACGAGCAGGAAAGGCGAACAGACACAATAAGTGGGCGGCAGGCTAGCAGCTATGCAGCACAGGTATGTGAGCGGCAGCAGACAGACGCTGTATGGATCAAGGATGAAGACTGGTCATGCGTTGCGCTCCTCCCTGCGATGAGCTGCAAGTAAAGGAACAGCTCACCTGGCCCCACGTATTTGTGCATGGCGCCCAGCAGCTTGGTGGCAGCACTTCGGCACGGCGCATTGCTGGAGCCCAGCCCCACGTTCTTCACAAACTCCAACAGCTCCTGTCCAGGGAGAACGAGAGCAACACAATGCAAACGCAATCAGATCAGATCCAACACGCTCAGATGCGAGACACGGAATGATACAAGTAAAGGCCAGAAATCATACACTGTGTGCCACCCTCTGCCACTGCAGAGGGTGTGAACGTGGCAATGCAGCTGCCACACGCTCCACGGACCCACCTTGAGGTTGAGCTGGGCGGTGCCAAAGTCGTCGACTGCTGTGACCATCCATGTGATGCTCTCCGCCAGCACCTTGGGGTTCTTGTGCGCGCTCACTATGGGAATGCTCTGCAGGGGAAGGACGAAGCATTCGATTTGTTAGCCACGTGATTAGGTGAGCTTTGCGCCGACTCGAAATTCGCTTCGTTACAATGGCACACTATGGGGATGGTCCGTAATGGCATGAGTACTCGATGCGTGATGCGCGTGATTACAGCGAGCACAATGCTGGGCTGTGCATAAAGATGTGTCTGTGCGTGAGAGTTTGCAGAGGGGAAGTGTTCTCACTCTGGTGAAGATGAACTGAGGGCCGACGCATTCTGCGAGCGTGGTGAGGCACGCTGTGGCCTGGATGCGCGTCTTGATGTCCCCCACCCTCTCGATAAGACCTGGTGCAATGTTGACACAGGCACACGAGTTCACATGCATTCAACAGAGTAAGGCACAACATGAAGCCGCCTGCCTTAAGGCATTAACCAGGTGACAGGGAAACGCAGCACGGAGGCTATGCACCTGACACACAGCAGTAAAGCCTGGCAGCCAGCGAAAGCTCCTTCCAAGAAAGAAACGTACCTTCGATGCAGAGCACAACGCACTTCTTGGGGAACCTGTCGACCTTGTCAGCCAGGGCTGACACACACTCCAGCATCTTCTGTAGCACCTGTTGGCATTGCCACCACACAGTAGAGCAGCGCACATCACCAGGGTCAGCAACTTGGGAGCTGACGAGCATATCAGTCGCCAGATAGCACAAGGTTGGTGTAACACAAGCAGCATTTGTGGGTTGGATGGTAGATACCTGGACGTTCTTGTCGGACCAGCCAGGCGTGGTGGAGATGAGGCGCACAATGGTCTCAACGTTGGCCTGTGCGTCTGCCATGCTGGGCACCATCTCCTTGATGCTCGTCATCGCTGCACACACACATGCGCTCCACGAATTGGTTGGTACACGGGCACAGCGGACTCATGAGTAAGAAACGAACAGCATGACCCAATGAACATTGTAACCAGAAAGAGAAAACAGCAACGCGGAGGCTAGCAGCCGATAATGATGTGTTGTGTGCGGCTGTGGATGTTGGCAGGGAGGTTGCAGCTCACCCTCGAGGCGCTCCTTCCAGGCGGAGCTCTTGAGGTTGTCGACCATCTCTGGCGGCAGCACTGCCTTGGCTCGCTCCTCCACTGTCTCGGGGCTCCATGGCTCCGGCTGCACCCAGGGGGAGGAGAGGCGGACAGAGATGGGCTTCACATCACACAGGAGTCGCTTGCTGATTGCATAGGACAACAGCGCGAGTGGGTTGTAAAGCCCGCATGGGCCCATGTGATGACATGAAGAGGGTACAGGTGTGCGATCAGCATGCTGGACAACGCACCTCGATCTCCTCTGGTGGAGCAGCTGCCTGGGCGGGCTTCTTAGCATCGGTGCCAGCCTTCTTGCCTCCAGCAGCCGAGCTGCCCGTCTCCACCTTGGAGCCTGTGGCGGACTGGAGGAGGGAAGAGAGAGAGAGCACCACACACACATGCAAGCAGCACAGCGACGCCCAACAGGGTCAGGAGTAGCACAACAAGGCGACCAAGAAAACCACATCTACGCATGACACTTCGCTTATGACACTGGATAGTGAAGGACAGCAGCGCAAGTCACAGTGAGGCATAACTATGCATGACAATTCTCTCGTAAAGAGCATGAGGAGGGCTGGTTGCTTACCGGGCGAGCTCCGGCTTTGCCGCTGAGCAGGCTGGCTGCAGACGCCTTGGCGGGTGGGGGAGCTCTGGACGCCGCCTGGCTGCCCCCAGAGGTCCTGCTGGCCGTGGCTGCACGTAGAATGGGTAGGCGTGGACGGAGGGACTCACGCCAGTGGGTTGATTGTACATGCATGGCCACCGACGGGGGGTGGGGGTGGTTGGGACAACGTTGACCAGGATGGTAGCAGATGGAAAGAGAAAGTGCGTCAGAGTGTGCGTTGGAGCGGGACCTATGTCGATGTGGTGTGCGCGCACACACGAGCAGGGGGCATGGAATGCGGGGGCAGGGAGGCGCGGCAGGGGAGGGAGCTGACCTTGGGGTGCGGCGTCCACAGTGACGCCAGCGCTGGCAATGACGTCAATGAGCTTCTTCTTGCGCACCTCGTCCACCGACTCCAGGTGCCTCTCCAACGGCTTCATGCCCACGCACTGCGGCCACAGCAGGCAGCAAAAGGAGGGAAAAGCTTGTCAAGCCATACCTTTGCCAGCAGGAATGCCAGCAAAACGCCAGGCCGATATGGCAGAACACACTGCAATACAGCAAGATGGAGACAGAGCTGGATGGAACGAGCACAGTACCTTGGCAACGTTCGCAAGAGCGTTGAACCCAGCCTCTCGAACATCCACGGTCCCATCTTGCAAGCTCTGCACGTTCCACCCAGGGGCCAGGGCCAGAGGGCAAGGATTGGTTGGTGAGTGCAAGTACAACACAACTGAGCCGGCAAAGGTTCACACAAGGCTGCTCTGGGGGGGTGGTACAGTGCTGCGCATGCCTAACGTACCTCAACGAGCATGGGGATGAGCTCCTTGTGCACCGCCATGACTTGCGGCCGCTTGCTGGCCTCGATGCACACCGCCACCCACCCCAGCACCTCTGAGCGGACCTGCGGCACCTTGTGCTTCACGGCCGTCGTGATGTCTGATCGCGAGGGCACATGGGGCATGCACGATATGGACGTGGGTGTGGACAGGAAAACGGTTCTGAGTGAGGGTTGCCGACATGGATGGAGATCAGAACGGGCATGCATTTAGATACGGCAACACATGAACAGTGCACTGCCTGTGGTGAGTCGCACATGATGGCTGTAATAACAGCCTAGCGTGGAAGAACCTTGGCTTACCCTCGAGTGCGTCTGGCAGTGTCAAGCACCCTGACACGTAGAACGCCTTGAGCGTGTCTCGAATGGCCTGCACCACAGTCGGCTTCTTCTCCTTGTACCTCTCCTGAAGAAGACACAAATAGCACGGGCGTGAGACAAGCCAAACAATGCCTAAATCCAATCAATGCGGAGAGAAACTTCCCTGATCATGCAAAAGGATTGTGAGAGCACCACTCACCAATAGGGCTGGCAGCATGAGACGTGCTCCAGACGAGAAGTCCTTCCGTAAACCCTTGGCCAGATTACCGGCTGCCTGAATGGCCTCCGTGGCAACTGCAATGTTCACATCTGTGGTCAGCTGAACAAGGGGAACAGGACGCAGACCACAGGATAAGCGTACGCGTCAGTAAAGCGGCAGAAGGATTTCGCTAATGACAGGAAACATGTGCGGGTTGTCAGCAGAATTACTACCTTCTTCAGGCTTCGTTGAATATCCAGAAAGTCTCCTGGTGCGATGCGAATGGTGCTCGCCAGTTTGGTCAGCTCTGCAATGGCATCGCGCCTCTCTGACCACTTGGTAGCTTTCTGAGAAACGCACACAGGGACAACATTATCACGCAGCGCAAGTTGCAGAAAAGCATGCCCTAGCCAGTAGTGAAGCACAAAATCAGCTAGGATGGAGGGGGTGACTCACAATGCCATCGTAGAAGGTCGTTTTGGATAGTGGCGTCAAGATGTCCACAGGGTCCGCCAAATCGTAGTCGTCAATCACAGGAGCAGCTGCAGCCACACACAGGAGCACGCATTGCGAAAGTGAGCAAAGAGCTGTGGACTTCCTCTGGAAGTATATGTTTCAGTATATGTAATCCCTTACCCTCAGGCTCTGCGGCCTTGGAGTCGTCTGCTGGGGCATCCAGCGCTTCTGGCTCCTCAATCTCCTTCATCTGCTCCGAACGGATTCTTCTCGTCGGAACACCGCGCCCTTCGACCCGCTCGAATTCCGCCTCGAGCTCCGCTTTCTGCGAGAAGCAAGCAGGGCAAGCATGGTCATGATGAGAGATTCATAAAGAACCGAAACGGCAATGATAATCGCAAGCCCTGATGCCTCCAGCGTTCACGCACCGTGGCGTCACGGAGCCCTTCGAAAAGCAAGCGCTTGACGGTGTCCTTTCCCAGCCAGCGGCAGAGCTCGACAGTGAGCCCCTTGGTGCACTGCCGCACGCCCTGGTCAGCGTGGTTGAACAGGCCGGGAAGCATCTTGAAAATGCGCTTCGGAGGAACCACTCCTGTGCCGAATTGGCTGCAAACGAGGGGATTGGAGAAACACGTCAGCCGATGTTCAACATTAAAAGAAACGGACGGCGATTCGGACACAGCTATCGCGAGAAAAGCAGTTCACCTTAGCGCTTGGTACATGGCGTCGATGGCTGGCACCACGGCCTTCGCCACTTTGTGCTTCACCGCTTTCTCCATGCAGTCCTGCACGCGGTCGCCAGTTCCAGATTAGTTTGAGGTGCATGGCGAATCTGACCGTGAATCGACAGCAACGAATGCATTTCCGCTCACCAGGAAAACCTCAACGGCTTCGAGCTCGACCCAAAGAAGAAACGAGGTCTGAGCCCTCTCGACCGTCTTTGGTCGACCCGTGAGGCACTTCGTAGCCGTAGCATCGCAGATTTCCTTGGCGAACCTAATCCAATGAAAAAGGAATGCGTCAGGCGATACGTCAATCGAGGCTTCACTACAAGCATTGACGCAAATTCTCACCTCGCGACATCAGCATCTGCTGCCAACTGAAAGGCTATCAATGCATCTAAAGCCTTTTCTTGTGCAGGCGCGTTCGCGTCAGACACTGCTTTCTTCAACAAATGACCTGAAACGTGACGGACAATGAATAAGACCTTCGTTCGGCAGCTTTACAGTCGAAATCGATCCGTCAACGGATGCTAATACGAACCGTATTCTTTAAGCTTGGGGTCTTTTGGATCCTTGATTTTGTTGCACGCATCTGCGATATCCAAATACACCTCGTTCCTAACCTTCCAGTTCTTATGAGCTATCCTATCTTCTAAAGGGAGCTTCTTCGCCTCCGCCAATACCTTCTCTTCTTCTGAAGCCATGGCTCGTCTAACGACAACACGGTTCTACGCAGAAGCACGCCTCGACTGTATCGTAAGCAGCGATTACGACGACCAACACTAAGATAGTCGAACACAGATAGTAGCTGCTTTCAAATAGAATACCTAGCTAAAGAGATTAACAATCATCTACTCTGACCAACAGCGGGAGATTCTCTAGGCCTAAGAAGTGATGTGACACTGACCGCAAACCTTCTGCTTGATTTCTGTTTGATGTTGAATTCTGCTGGGAGTCTGGCTGACAGGTCATAGGTGGTGCAAGGCAAACCCACCCCTGATAACTAGGTTCTCACGCTGTGGCTCGTCCGTCATGATCGAGGTGAGGTGCCAATAACGAGTGAAAGAGCTTCCTTCGGTTCAAGCGACTCGTGATTGGTGTGGTCTTTTCCTCGGTGACCTCCTCCCGCCACCCGAAGTCAGAAGGTTGGGTCGTGTGTCAGAGAGCGCTGCGTCACTGAAGGAGCATGAAGTGTATACGCATCTCAGGTTTATTTGTCACATACTCATGCGTCTTTAGTGTAAAATTCATTGTCTTTGCTCCTCTTATCTTACGTGAGTAGATACTCATGTGAAGCAATCTATTCGGTAAAATAAAATTTAAAACAAATAAAATAAGGATGTAGTACGCTATACCTGGTTATGCATGTGTTTGAAGAAGCATAAGCATTAGCATATTAATAGTCAAATTTAAAGTCTGTACACCAACTTATTAAGTGCTAAATGAAAATTGCCACATCGGCAAGACAAACTCGAAGCGGCAGCCCATTCCCGCCGAATATGTCTCACGCAATGCTCACGACACCGGATGTTTACACAATTTCGCATGCATGAGGCCAGCGAAAGAGCATTTTTCCGCCCTCGTGCAACAATTTCGCACACAAAATTTGGCTGGTTGCACGATGCCCATTAGTCGCCAGCGTAACGATTTGCACGTGACTCCTTTCGTCGGCCGCGTCGCTTGACTTTTGTGGACGTGCCAAATACGATGCTTTTGGCGACGCTCGTCGCAAAGCGTCCTCCTGCATGGTTCTGCAATGTGCACCACATTCCGCCCCTAGTCCTGCTACTACCATGCCTTGCGATCCGCAAATGAGCAGGCCATCACATCACATACATCTAGCCTGAGCATGTTTGCAGCAGCGTGCTTTCATGCGCCTATTCTATTAGAGGTCTCAAGCTAGAAGGCGAGCCTTGAGTAGCATTCTTGTCGCGTCCCTAATCTCGTTCACAGCCGTCGAATTAATGGCTCCTTCGCTGCTACGCTCTAGGTGGCCTCTTGCGGTTGTCTTGCTCGTTGCGATTGTGGGATTTCCTGCAGCAGTCCTGGCATATGACTCGTCGTTCGACCGGTACTTTCAGTTCGCGTCGTACTGCAAAGGGCAGTACTACTGCGAGCGCGGGTCCGATGGAACCGTCGCGCTTTCCGCCCACTGGGATAAAGTCGGAGGTACGTTTGTGCGTTTGAAAAACGAGTAGGAGCCTCCATTTCAGAATAATCTCTATTACGTTCGTTGTTTTTACTCATTTATGTCAATCCTTCTCTTTCCCCTACCTTCCCTCGCTGTCGATTCTTCACAAACCAGCCTTTTCGTCGTACGGAATGTACCAGTACGGCATATTCAGCGTGAAGATGAAGATGCCGGCCGGCTACTCGGGCGGCATCATTCCGTGCTTCTACCTCATCTCGGGCGGTAGCCCGGGTTACACGGACATTCACGACGAGATCGACTTCGAGATCCTGGGCGCCGAGAACCCGCGCGACATGATCATCCACACCAACCTCATCTCCGGCGGCCAGACCAACCTCGAGCAGGTGCGTTGCCGTTGCCGCGAGACCAGACGAATCTGCCACAAAACAGACGAATGGAAACAGACCGAGTGGAATCAGACGGAATGGAAACGCACATGTGGACGGAACGCTAGTCTCCCCATCTACGGTCATCGCTCCTCACTTCTCGTCATTCCCAAGAAAATCTCCCTTTCCCTTTCGTGCTCGCCGATTCTCCTTCGCCCAAAACAGCCCTCCTTTTCCCCCTGCCCTGGCCCCCCCCCTCTTCGCGCGCAATGCAGTTCCGCTTCCCGTTCGACCCGTCGGCGGACTTCCACACGTACACGATCATCTACTCGCCGCGCTTCATCGTGTGGCGGATCGACAACACGCCCATCCGCGTCACTCTCAAGACCCCCGGCAAACCCTTCCCCTCCTCGCCCGTTCAAGTCAAGGTATGTCCTTCCCCCTGCGGCAATCCCTTTATCTCGACCCCCAGCAAAAAAGGCAGTTACTTGCAGAATAGATCTCTCTCCTTCACGCTTCCTCCCCTTCCCCTCCGCCTCCACATGGGAAAGCGGGGTCTAATCAGCTTCTTATACTCTGCTTTGCGACCCTCTCGCCCAAGCAGGCATCCATCTGGGACGCGTCGAGCTGGAGCCCGTTAAAGCCCGACTGGAACCTGGGCAAGGTGACGGCCCAGTTTAAGGATTTCGACTTGAGCAATGCATGCGCCGTTCCGCCCTCGGGCAGGCGCCCCGCGTGCGCGGATGAGACGAACAGGCAGAAGGCGCCGTGGCTGTACAACCTACCGCCCAGGCAAATTCAGAATTTCAAGAATTTCAGGAAGAACTATGTGAAGGCGTCGTACGGTTGGCAGGTGATTCAGTAACGTCCAAAAAAAGGCTCAAATAGATAGCCCTAGGATCTACTAAGGTAATAAAACTGGGATGTGGTCCCAGGAATGATTCTTTAATGATACGACGTTGCTATACTTGTGAATTATACGAACCGTATTGCTTCCTATATACTCTGCATAATGGCTGGTGGCTGCTGGCATCCAGGCAAACACTTGCAACGGCTTACACACCCAAGAACACCTGATTATTCATCCTTCAAGTGGGGCCTCACCACCATCTTCTTCAACTCCATCAACGCCCGTCCAGAATGTATTGGCACAAATAGCAATGCCAACCAAGTTGTAAAACGGACTGAAATAAATGCAAGTGGAGGAGCTTTTGCACACCTACCGTACATTGCATGTCCACATTCCAGATGTTGGCTTACCTTCAAAACGCCACCTAGAAAGGTTTCCAAAGACAGGAGAATAGTGGTGAGTACACATTGTGAAACGAGATACATTTTGGTTCTTGTGAAGTACATTGAATTCTTAAGGATGTTTCCTAACTCTGACTTCAATACAAGTTACAGCATCTTTATTCTTGACGATGTTTCTTGTACACCAATCTTACAGGTGGTCATCGGCGTATCTGATGACCAATAGAATCTTTTGGCTCTAACCTTTGAGCTAGCGAAGAGGAACCCTTTGAACCAGTTCCAGGTCGGAGACAATTTCTCAATACAGTATCAAGCCAGAACCAGACCCGATCTACAAGCAGACCGATACTGACGTGAGGCGCTTCACGTGAGGGAGATTCATAACAAGCCCTTCTCGTGGCTCGAGCCTCGTGATTGATCGCTGCCACGTCACGAGCTGCTTCTGCTTTAGATTTGTCACGAGCCCTCAGAGCTTGAGATTCTATCGACGATATCTTAGAGCCACAGTAAAAGGTGAACCGAACTGAACCGTTCCGAACAGAGCGCTGGACTGGACCTCGCTTTTTGGCTGCCAGATCTCTCTTCTCTGATGAACCACACCACACCCTTGATTTTTCCCGGGACGCCAATTCGGGTCTCCCTCCCCCGATTCTTGAAATTGCTGACTCACCTCAGCACATCAATCAGATCGAGAGAATCGTGCTCGCGCGCGCGGCATTGTTCGAGTTCCCGAGCGCCCCTTCGTGCTTCGCTCCCCTTTTCTCTTTCTTCCCCCCAATTCCCCCATCGCCAGCGCGCTCCCATTGGCCCTGGCCTCCTCCCACCCTTCCGTTGGCCTCTGCTAGACTCTGCCCTTGGCATCAGATGCCGCTGCAATGCTCGTCGTTTCCTCCCGAATGTGAGGCGGGCGGGGAGGGAATGCTGAAATGGTGGTGTGCGGAATTGAGAAACAAATCCCCAGAACCAGTAGATTCGAATCGCAAGATTAGTTCTGCAGCGCTACTGCTTGATTCATTTTGCCCTGCACTGCTGGGAGTGGAAATTGTGGTGGTAATATCTATCCATCAGCATAGACACTACTCTCCCACCGCGCACTGCTCTCGTGGATGTGCTGCGGCCGCTTGGGGGTAGATCGTCGCGGGACAGATTTGCCGAAGGGAAAATCAGAGCGAAGCATCAGTCTTGGAGCACGGAAATCGGAGCCAGCAACATTTAGTACGGGCCCACAAGGGAGCTTACAACATAAGAGCAGACATGATTTCGCGGCCCGCCATGGTTCGATTGATAACTCCACTCTCCGCGCGATTACGACAGTTACACGATTGCTCAAGTCTACAAGAAAGGCCCTTGTGTTTGACACTTCCGTCAGCACTTACCTATCGCACTTACACCATCTCCTTCTGTCGTCGCGAAGTTAGCTTTTCCTGTCTCTCCTTGTGTTTTTCCAAAGCAACGCCGAGGCCGTCGATGTTCGAGATCGTTCTTCAACCCGACGTCCATTAATCTAGACCGTTCAAATCCGATGAGTCCCAGACCTAGTCCCCACGGAGACCCGCCGCAGCCGCAAACGCGCCTGACGTCTCCAATCACATCCGCCTTCGCCGGCGGATCGAGCGCGAACGCCGATGCGTTCTTTAATGTCACTTCGTTTAGTAGTAGTGATGCTGTGGCCGGTCCTTCTTGGAGCGCTCCCAGGCGCGCCGACAGGGTGGGGAAAGGCGCCAAAGGCGGGCCGGAGAACGCGCTGCACGGCTTCCGCGGGGTGCGGCAGCGCAGTTGGGGGAAATGGGTGGCGGAGATCCGCGCGCCGCGCAGCAAGAAGCGCATCTGGCTGGGGTCGTTCGCTGACGCGCGGACTGCTGCGCTGACGTACGACCGCGCAGCGCGGAAGCTGTACGGGGCGCGCGCGCAGCTAAATTTTCTCGAGGGAAGTGCAGCTTTCGCGCCCGCCAACAATCACCCTGACGGCGCAAGCTTTCCCGCCGCCGACGCGCGCAGCGGGTTGATCAGCAGCGGAAGCGGCAGCGGGGGCAGCGCTAGCGACAGCGAAGGCGGCGCCTCCGCAGGCGTGATCGCCGACGGCGGCGGAGGCGGCGAGAGAACGAGCCGCTCCGTCGAAACGCCTGCGCTCGTACGTCGTTGCGCGTCGAGCGACGACGCGACGCCCCCGTCACTGGCGAGGCTCGCGTTAACCGGCGGCGCGCCGTTGCTAACGCGGCGCGACTCCGACCCAGAAGAGAGCGGCGTTGGTTCCGTCATGGCGGCGGGCTCTCGACCCGCGGCGCTCAACCCAGGAACTCTCGCTGCAGCGGCGAGATGTGACTACATCGGTGCCCTGCCACTGCCCAGCATGACCTTCAAAGAAATCTTCAACCGCTCGTGCCCGCCGCTCACCGCCCCCGCCGCGGCGTCTACCTCCGTATCCGCGCTCGGCGCGCGCGCCCCGTCGGCGGAGAAGCGGGGCATGTGGCAGGGGCCGGTTGAGTCGTTCCGCGCGCCCGCGAGTAGCGCGGGGCGCGTCGACCCGTCGGCGGAGAGCACGGAGCTGGCGCACGGGGCGCAGCAGACGGAGGGGACGCGCGCTGGGTGGAGCCATGGCGGCAGCGTTGCGGGCTCCAGCGTTTTGAATAGGAATCCGAATCTTCAGAACCAGCTCTGTGAATCGAGTCAGGGTTTTTTCGCTGTAGCGGGGAACGAGGGGTTGAACTTGGGCTTTCCTGCGTGCCCTGCTGTGTTACCCGCCCAGCTGAGTCAGCAGCCGGCTTTGACGGTGCGTGGGGGGCTTGTTCCCTATGGCAGCATTTTTGCAAGACCCCCAGTCATGTCAGTGGGAGGTACAGAAGCATCTGGCATGGCGGCGCCTTGGGGTTGTGGCGCAGCAGTCCCGTGGATGCATGAAGGAACGATGGAGCAGCAGGGGGCGATGGTGCGGGCTCTGAGGGAGAGCAGGGCGCAGCTGGTGCGCGAGCAGATGGGCAGCAGTGGTGGCGCTGTGACTGCTGGGAACGCTTGGCCTGCTGGCACTGCTGAGATTGCTGGTGCCGGGATGCCAGCGAGAACAGTGGAGCAGCAGGGGGCGATGGTGCGGGCGCTGAGGGAGAGCAGGGCGCAGCTGGTGCGGGAACAGATGGGCGGCAGTGATAGTGCAGGGGCTGCTGGGAACGCCTGGTCTACTGGTGCTGCTGGGAGTGCTTGTGCGGAGGCATGGAGTGGCAAGGAGAGCAGGGCGCGGCTGGTGCGGGAGCAGATGGGCACCAGTGTTGGGGCTGTGACTGCTGGGAACACTTGGACTGCTGGGAGTGCTGGTGCGGGGGTGTGGGGTGGCAGGGGCATGGATGGGGCAGATGCGGTGCAGGGTGGGGGAGCAGGCATGGAGCATGGCATGGAGCATGGCATGGAGCAGGGCATGGAGCATGGTGGTGTGCTGGACGCAGCAGCCATAGAGCGCATGCTGCAGCTCTCAGAGGCCCTGCTCGGCCCAGCGGACCCTCCTACTCATGGCCCTCACGCCGCACCTCATCCTGAAGGCTCTGATGACCGTCGTGCCCGTGTGGACACCCCTCATGGCCCTGTGATCCCTCACGCCTCTTATGCTGCTGCATTTGAGGATGCCAGTGCGCTGCTGGCATGTAGTGACTACCAGCGTCTCAACAGTGGATTGCCTGATGCTGTGTCTCGCTCTGTGCCTGACTCTCTGCCTGGCTTTGTGCCGCATGCTTCTGCTGCTGCTGCTGCTGCTGCCGCTGTTGCTTGTAAGCCTGTATGCGAGCTTGCAGACCTGGTGCCGACTGTGTCCCCGTCCCCCATGTGCATGGGAGGGGAGTTCGCACTACCTGGCAGCAACTACCTGCTGCCTCCTGCAGTGGGTGTGGCGCCATGTGCGGTGAATACTCTCACCATTGATGCTGCCCACGGCCAGCCGTGCTTTGACGAACTGCTGTCCCCAATGCCCAGGCTCTGGTGATGTGGGTTACATTATTGGGATACAAATATGAACCCTAACTGAGCTGTACTCTTTATTGCAGCCTATTACAATTATAACATTTGACATGCACTCGCAGCTCTCATCAGCAGCCGCCGCCGGCGCAAGCTGCTGCAGGGCTGAGCTCGCTGCCGCGGCTTGGTAGCAGGTGAGGGGGCCAAGGAAACGGGGGTGGTGGTGGATGGGAGGTGGAGGGTGGTTGAGAGTGCTATCTGAGAGGTTGCAGGCAGCAGTGCACTCTGCACTGGCCTAGTCTCCCAGAGTCGAGCCGCTACGGCACTACCACTTTCACGATCTTGCAGGAGGCAGATGATGCAAGGTTTGCAAGGCAGGGTGGGAATTGTTCAAATTTGGAAAAAGAATATTTCTTCATGGTGTATACCAGACACTTCACTTCCTTCACACATATATAACGTATATGTACCGTGGACTAAGGTATGAAATATTTAGAAAACACCTTTCATTTCGCCACCTCCAACCGCTCTATTCTCCAGCACACCCACATTCAATAATCAAGTAATCCGGCCAGCCTTGAGCGCAGATTGTTGACCAGCAACCCGCAAGGCGGCAGGTTGGGCCAGAATCCATCGAAGGTGGATTTGCCACGTCACAAGATTTCTTCGCTCACTCATCGGGCCGAGCCAGAACTCCAAGACTCACATCGCAGAGGAATATCAGTAACAATGAGTGGATTCTTCGCCACAGGGGAGAGATACTTGTAGTAACTTCGCTAGTCTGACAATTCGCCCAGTACTGATCTCGTCATCCAGCCAATCCTTCACAGTGACAGACGAAGCCACTCCGTCCATTGGATCAATTTCCAGATCAGCATGCTCCTAGTAATCTCGTAGGCGTTGGCGCGAAGTTCCCGCAATTTTCCCAAAGCTGCGCATTCCGCCGCCTATCCGTTTGCGGAACCTGGGTAAGGGCTCCGCGGACACCCTCAGATTTGGCGGATCTTTTTTAGGGTGGCAGCAAATTTCGTGGAGCACTTCCGCCAGCCCGCGCATTTCAAAGCCCAGCAACACTGACGGCCAGGCCTGACGATTGACGGGCATATGCCCTTAATGCCCTGACATTAAGGGCTAGTTTCGCTCCAGCTCCAATGCGTCAAGTTTTAGATTCGCACCCCACCCGTGCCACTAAGTGCTTCGTTCGACCCTTCCCCGGATGCGTTAAGGGACGAAACCAGGCCTTCCCCTTTATCTAAGTTTTGGTTTCCGATCGTAGGACCCCCCACTCCCCCAGGGTGCCTGAGACACCCC